TCAGATAAATAAATTGAAAATTATAAGAAGAAACGATTACTTATTCGGCAAGTATATTATACCCATTAAAATTCCAGAGAGTCTCAGCGCCATTGGTACAGAAGGATTCAAGATTTCTTCGCTGAAATTTTACAATCGGACAATAATGTCAGAAAATAGAAATTAAACTTGACCTAAAAAAGAGAGGAGAGAGAAAGTGAACCATATTCGGATGATGTCGATTTGATCGAGCTTTCTCCGATTCATCTTCGCATGCATTGTTGCTGCCATCCTTATACCCAGAGATAGAATAACATTGACGTAATTCAAATTTGATTTTGGAGAAACTGAGCAAAATAACTAGAAAAAATTTGCAATAAAATGGAAATTGACTTGAATTTGAAGAACTTCTGGAAGAAATATTAGCTCACGAAAACTGATTTCGTCACATAATTTCCATAATAGAGCTAGATTAACTAGCATACTCATCCTCATAGAGTGGAAATTCAAAAATCCAATCTATATAATATAATTTCGCCATTTTTGTTGAAAAATAAATCTATATAAAGTATAAAACAAAAACAAAAGCGATGCAAATATATTTTCAAGTTCCCATTGATATCAGAGGATGAGTGAACTAGCAAATTCGTACTCATAATGCGAAAATTCAAACACAAAAATCATTTTATCGAATTCCTTCATTTTATTTGAAGATTAAACACTACATTAATTAAGAAATCGGCTCAAACAAAAAATTCCAGTTAATTTTGGAATTTTGAAAACAGAGGACAAATTAACTATCAAGTTCATACTCATACTGTAATAATTACAAGAACCAACCCCAAAAAAAAAGATTATCACCATTTTAGTTGAACTTGAAGATCTGTAGAAGTTAAATAGTCGACGCCAACAAAATTTCAAGTTCAAAAAAAAAAAAAAAAAAAAAAAACACAAAAACAGAGGATGAACTAGTTAAACCTAGCTAGAAAAATCTACTTCAAAGAATCAACTAAAAGCTTTAATCGATGAATCAAAGGTAAAAATTAAAGGTTCGGCGAAGTTGCAGAGTAAATGTGAGAGATAATCGTTACCATATCTGTCCAAGTGGAGCTTTTCGAGCAAGCAGTTGATGAGAGTAGAACATTGTCGCTAAATTCCAGTTTTAGTTCAGCTTAAGAGAGAAGAAGATGGAGGAGGTGAAGCAGCTTCAGAGGAGCTTAAATAGAGCTTTAATGGTGGAAAGAAGAGAGAGAAATTGGAGAGAGAATGAGAGAGAGGGAGAAGGAGAAGGAGTGTGTGTCAGAGTGGTATGTAACAGAATCCCCGCCAAAAGGCCAACAGTGGAATTTTGAGTGGGGGTGGTTTTCATTTTTACTGTTAGCAAACGCATGTGCATATGGTTTATTCTTTGCAGCTTCATTTTTTGTTGTATCAAAATTCCTATTTTGTGATTCTCACAAAATAAATTAAAACAATATAGGAAGATATTGATGTATAGAGGCTTAATTTCTAATACGATTATACGTGCATTGTTGATGTATAAACTTTTCAAACAACACATTGAGAGAAAAAGAGAGAGTTAAATATTTTATGAGGCTAAGGGGCTACTCCTCCTATCTTGGACTCGTGAAGTGAACTCTCTTTCTTGGTTACGAGTGCGGCCCAAACTCGTAATTAACATGTATCAGAGTCGGTTTGTTTGCTAGCAAATGTAAAATAAGAGGTTCTTAAACTTAAATGAGATTTCTAGACGAATCGTATAGCTTAATTGAATAACTTCGTATGTAGTTGGTTGGTTGGTTGCGCTTCATGCTGTGCTCCCTAGTCAAATACTTATAATTTTAGATATTTTGTTATGCTGTACCATATTACCCATCTACCAGGGTCTTGGTGCAAGTTTGCAACATTGCAAGTATACTTCTTTCGCTTTTTTTTACTTGACCCGCTTTGACTTTTATACTATTCACTACATTTTTTTTGACCATTTTTTATGAATTATATGTAAGGAAAAACATATTCACGTGGAATCTTTCTAACTTCATCTCAATAAGTACTATCATAATATATAACTTTTATATTTTTTACTTATGAATAATTAAAGTTATTGATTATTAAATTTTGCATTGACAAATGTGATAACAAAACAAGACAAATAAAAAAGAACAAAAAAAGTATAATATATACAAATATACCTATGTAACTGCACCAATAGCCACTACCTCACTAGTTAATCTGGTAAAAGAAGTACGGAGTATAAAGAACCAAAAATAATAAGGAATGTAATCTTTAAATTAGCCCAATGGGTAATGGGTTAATGGCCCATTGGACCACAAACATGCTATTGAAGTACGTATTGGCCTGTTGGGGTTGCATATACATACTACCATCGTTACATATTATATGCAACTTTTGAGTATTATTTGTGAGATAAAAAATTCAAAGGTTGCATATAATATGTAACGGAGGTAGTATATGATTCTTATTGGCAGGGAAAGTAGGAATCAACTAATAAATCAATAAACAATACGAAGTAATAATTTGCCATTCTCGAAAACTTAATATCGTAATTAGTCGTCTTTGATTATTATTATAAAATCAATCTAAATGAACATATCAACAAATGAGCAGCTGGAATTGCCTGGCTGTTGACAAATAAAAGCATCATGCATCTAATAATCCAGGAGTTTTTCGTACACCTCTTGATGTCCAAATAAAATATACTTCGTATTAGGAAAACGAAGAAGACCTACTAAGATAAAACCATTTAGGAAATGCAATATTTTTAACCAATCATTTAGGTTTTTTTGTTGTTAACTTTTTTTATTTATTTTTTTCTTTTTTTTATTATCTTTTGTTTGGGTGTGAAGGGGTTTTTGGTTGATGATGTAGTAACATAAGTGATTTGGTGTTATTATTCGAGAATCGATCAATAATTTTTTTTTTCATTGTATCTATCTATCTTTCCTCTTTATATGTCATGGGTAACAATATAATTGTTTTTAGTTGGTCATAATGAATCAAAAGAAGAGTTATATGCACTGAATTCTTTGATAGAATTTTCATTTATCTTTGCACACAAATTAAAAAAAAAAATCAATATCTATTCTCACTATGTATTAGTCATGTTTATACATTCGAGAACATATAAAAAAAAAAAATAGTCTAAATTATTGTACCGTATGTGTATATATGAACCATATTGAGAAAATATTGTATGACAATATCAACTATGCATGAAGCTATTTGTGAAATGGCATTGGTGGCAATATATATATACTTCGAGAATATCCGACAATGTAATTATATGTATTTTCAAAAAAGAGAGAGAAATTGTTTTAAGATTCATAGAAAGGAAAGGGAAAAAAAGAAAAATTCAATTAATCCTCCCATAGTCCCCCTTGGAATACCTCTCCGGCTCTCCCCTCCTGAGTCCTGATCACCTCCTGGCCCCGTCAATATAAAATATCATTATCATATCATAAAACTTTGCTTGCCGGCCTTTTGGTAGAATTTTCTTACTTAATTCGAACTCTTAATCACGAAGAAATAATAAAAGTATCTAATTTTATATCTTGCCTACTACAATTAATAGTCAACAAACGAAACTTCCGTCTTTTTTTATGTGAAGGTTCATAAGAGAAACATCATCACTTAATTAGTTCAAATGTCTTTCATAAATAGATTAAAAGTGATTAAATTTGTAAGATTAGTTGATAATTACTGTTCTTAATTTGTTAAGACACTAGAAGTAATTACGACTTAAGAGGTTAAGTCATAAAGTTAATCACGAGTTTGGTTTTAAACGTCGCTTCTATTTTACTAGACACCGCTCGCATTTTTTATATGAACTTCCGTATTTACCCCTCGTAAATAAATACTCATGACACTCACTCACGACACTCACAACACTCATTTCTAAAATCACAACTCACTTCACTCTCATTTCATCCTCTCTAAAAAAATATCAAATTATGAAAAAAAAAGTAGAGTTCCGCCTGAAAATTCCGGAAGTACCAAAGAGGATCCGAAATTTTCAGGCGGATCTACCCATCCGCCTTAAATTTCTGGATGTTCGGTGGTGGATCCGCCTGAAAATTCTGGATCCTCTTTGGTACTTCCGGAATTTTCAGGCGGAACTCTACTTTTTTTTTTTTAATTTTTTTTTTCCAGATTTTACTTAATTTGATTTTTTTTTGTAGAGAGATTAAATGAGCAAATAATATCAACAAATAATAACAACATAAGCAAATAATTACAACATTGATCACAACAACAATAATAATACTAATACTAATTACTCAATTTATCACAACATTAATAATAATCACAATAAAAATTATAATAATACAAAGATTACATTAATAAATTTGATTAATTAATCAATTAAAAAAAATCAAAAAAAAAAAGATCCGCCCAAAATTTCCAAATCCACCTAGGTGGATCCGCTTAAAATTTCTGGATCCGCCTAAGAAGGTCCAGAAATTCTGGGCGGATGTGGAGATCCGCCTTAAATTTTCGGATCTACCTTGGTGGATCCGGAAATTTTAAGCGGATGTATTTATTTCAAAAAAAAAAAAACAAAAAAAAGTACGAGACTTCCGACGATGTCTCCGGTGTACGATCGTCGTCGTCCATCGTCCTAAACCTATCGCTAAAGCTTAATAAATTTTTTTTAAAAAAAAATCGGATTTTTGGTGTTGGATCGAATGTGGTGGGGTCGGGAATTTTTTTTACCATGTGGTAGTAAGTGGAGGGATCGGGAATGATATTATACCATTATGTACTACAACTTACACAAAAGACAATATCATCATATCATATCAAAATGGGAGCCATGTCCTGTAAAATGGAAGCATTGAGTAGCAGTTCACTTAAATCGTACTTGGATTTCATTGTAAATTTTAGTAATTTTACATGTTTTAAATATTGCTAATTATTGTTAAGGTGATTATAAGACAAGTCCTAAAGGTTAGAATGATGATTTCACTTAGATCATTACTACGGAGTATAATTCAAAGTCAATGTCGAGTTTTAATTTTCAATTTGGACTTATCAACCCAAGTTTGAGTGAGCTACTCAAAATCAGGTAGATAAATTGCCACCAAGTAAAATCTTCATCAAATTACTTTCCTAATATTTCAATTATTACAAACAATTTGGTTTTCTAAATTGTTTAATAAAATTTACCTCGTTAGGTTCTGTTTGGTAGGGCGTAAAACATTTTCACTGAAAAGTGTTTTCCCATTTTACATTATTTGGTTTGGTGTAAGACATTAAAATGTAATACTTGGGGTGAAAAATCATTTTCCACCTTATTGAAAACATTTTCCCCCCGATTTAGAAGGAAAACATTTTCCATCACAAGTGGAGGGAAAACATTTTCCATCACAAGTGGAGGGAAAACATTTTCCCTCACAATTGAATTTTCAGTTCAATCAAACAATGGAAAATGCTTAAAATGGAAAATCATTTTCCATTCAACCAAACAACGGAAAACTTTTTTGAAAATGAGTTTTCCATTGTAAAATGATCATTGAAAATGTTTTACACCCTACCAAACGAACCCGTAGTAAAGTCGAAAATGGTTTATTATATTTAATCCAACCATGCAAGTCTAACCAGTAGTTCATAATCAGTAACTTCTTCTTACCTTACTGCTTAGCTTCTACTCCGTATCAACATCTAACCGATCTCATCACATAATTCACAAGCACTCAAGCAGATTTAACTTTCCATCTTACCCTATACTTCCTCTATTCTTACAATACCAAACAATTTGACTGGCATTTATGTAAATGCACAAATTTAATTTTGTGTATTAATAAAAATTATAAAATAATAATATTTGAAATTATATATTGAAACTAATCTAATCATATATTATGTATAAATGACATTGACTTTTCCTTAAAAGTGTCAAAATAGCAAAAGTAGTTATATACATCAGGTGTATGGTACACTAAGGTATTCAATCCTTATTTTGATAATTAAATTTAAGGGTGATTATTTTAATCATTAAATTAGCAAAAATTAATTTTTATGGATCTTACACTCGGATTTATATAAAAAATTTCACCAAAGTAATCACGGATGCTTTAAAAACGGAGGGAATAATTTTTCTTGAATTGGATCTTTTCTTACAACTCCATCCATGTGAACAAAACAAAAAACAAAAAACAAATCCAAATCCAAATCTAAGGAATAAAAAGTCAAACAAAACCCCTACGTATAACTCCCCCCATCTTAAAACCCAAAAAAACAACAAACTTTCCAGTTTTTGATCAAACAAAATAATTCAAACTCCAAAAAAAACAACCAAAATGCACTCCCACCTCTTCTCCACCATCTTTCTCATCATCTTCCTCACCTCACTTTCCACCACCTTCTCACAACCCCACCACCTCCTCAAAGCACCTTCTTCCGAGCCAACACCACCGCAACCGAATCCATCCAGTTGACCCCGTTTTTGGGTTCCTTTTTGGATGGAGAAAGTCATACTTTTGAGCTAGGGGTGGCTAATTCGCTTAGTTTTTGGTTGGTTGATGCGAATTTGCATGTTTGGGTGGACAAGAATTCAACTCAGGTTGAGGGGATGGTGGCTGTTAGTGAGCCATCTGAGTATGAAGAGTCGCGGGAGTACAAGTTCAAGCAATTGGATGGATCATTTGAGATTGAAGCTGAGAGAACGAGTCAATCTTCTGGATGGGTTAATTGTAGTACTGGTAATTTTACCACTAGTATAACTCAGAAATTGAAATACAAGAATTCGATCGAGTTTCAAGGAGCTGGTACACAAAAGACTGTTGAGCAGAAGTTAAAGGTGAAAACAGAAGTGAGGGTGGTAGCAGAAGACGGCACAGTGGTCTCTTTAAGAACATCAAAACGTCAATATCCACTTCAGATTGTAACTTCAACGATCCCTGGACCGGAGATAGATACAGAGGTGATGACTACAACCATATCAAACGAATTGAAAGTGAAGTCCTCTGATGGGAATGTGAAAACAACTCTTCAAAACACTCAAGAGTCAGAGGGTTCAATGATGGTAAAGGATCATTCAGTTCTTTCCGGTAGAGCTGTAACTCGTCAAACTTTGAGCTTGAAGGGAACTAGCTGCTTTTCAAGGAGCGCTGAAGCAGCTGAGGGGATACTTCTGAGGGATGATTCAATTGTTGCTTGCTCCAATCTCAACAATGATCACAATGATTTATTGAGCGCTTGGTAGACTTACAGAACTCTTGATTTTGCATGATTATGGAAGATTTTGAAGCTTCACTGTTAGAACAATAATGTATCATGTGGCCAGTGCTTAGCTTTTATATTCATTATTTATGCACTCTGGCTATCATGTCTCCTCTTTACCTTTGTAAATTACATTACTTGTATCTTTGTTTCTGTTTGTTTGAATGTGTGTAGTGTGCTACTGGTTTTTTATACCTGTTGTACTTTTCCCATGTAATGAGTTTCTTTTGGAGTTTGAGGAATGAAGTTTTATACTGCCATATGTTGCAATGGCTGTTTTTCAAACTCATTTTCTTGCGATATGATCAAACATTGCACACTTTATATTACTGTCTTTACTGAATTTTACTTTTCTCGACTCTCCTTTAATGTATACAAACCATTTGAATCGCGAGGAGTATAAGCAATCTCTTACAGGTTAGTTAATGTGTTGAAGATCTTAATTTCTGCTTTGTGTAAGCAGTCTTTCTTGATATCTTCCTTATTCTAAGTACAAATTTGTAGCAATCTCTATAGGTCCCTATTTTAAGAAAACACCTGATTTATGTGGATGTGCGCTGCAGGCACTAGGTTGTATTAACATCATGTTGGATCAAAGTAATTATTACTAGTATTTCTGTTTGTTTAAATGTGTTTGTTCTAATTTAGCACTACCTGCTAATAACAGCACAGGAAGAGCAGAATCAACCAGGGAAACAAGAGCGTAAACATTATGCAGAGACCATTCCTAAATAATTTTTCCTTCATTTCATCTTCAGTGGCTCGCTTGGGATGGAGTAAATTATTTTAGGGGATAATAGGAGTTAAATAAGAAGTTGCGAAGTGGGTGGAGGCGGGGGTGGTTGTTAGGGTAATAGACCACCTCCTCCTCTTCCTTCAAGTCCACCACCATTCCTGCTTATTTAACATACCATTATAAAACTATATCACCCCTTAAATAATTTTCCTCATTCCAAGCATGGCCTCTATAAAGCCATGTAATCAGAACATTCCAGGAAATCCCTATACACACTATCCATACGTGGTATCAAAAGAATGGTAAAATTGCATTGAAAATTATACCATAGAAGCCGTACTTGTTCATTTATTTGCTTGGTTCATCTTTGCACCCGACCACCATGCGGACGCCAGAAACTTTTCTGGCCAACAAGATATCGATCATTGTAGAGATTCACAGACCACTGAAGAGAACGAAAGATTGCTCCTATTCTGTTGATCTGTTCTTTGGTTTCTTGAATCAATACCCACCCACCTGGTCTCACAATGCGATCAATCTCTGCAGCCAAATCTATGATGTCGCACCTGAATGATACAAAACTTCAGATCATCAAATAGATGAAAACAATATGGTTGAACTGGGTCACTTGATTTCAGTGAAGAACTTCACTCTGAAAAGACATTTATACAAAAATGAATACTAGAAAGGTAAATATTGGCAATTTTACCCGTTTGGGAGATTGCTGAAGAGGAAAGTAGAGTGCAGGAGATCATAAGTTCTTGGATAAGTGTTGAAAGATTCACACCAATCATGATACACTCCAATTAACCCTCGGTCAAAAATTATGGGAAGTGTATCTGGCTCATGGACTGGAACAACATTCATCACCCACAGTGGCATATCAATAAGAGCTGCAGCAAATCTGTGAAAATGTTTGATATGTTAAATTTTTAAAAATACATATCAATTTTTCTTTTTAAAAAGAGAGAAAAAAAAAAACACATATCAATTTCAATTGTGCCAATCTAAGTTGCAGAGTTGATCAGGTATGGCAATGAACCAAGAGCAAAATTTGAAGATATAGCAAGAATGATAAATTGACAGAGAGGTGAAATTGGTGTAAGCATTTAAATAATTCCCCTCTTAAGGCTATAAGAATTAAGTGCTCAACACACAGTAGTATGCAGAAACTGATGAGCAACTTATCAGAATAAAGCAATTCTGTTATAAACTTTGATAAACAAGAGCAACCAAAAAGGACAGAGAACAAACTAGCAAAGGTAAGGTTACTTGGTACAAAAAACTCACCCTCCGCGACCAGCAGTCATGTCCATTACATTACGCACACTTGACCAGTTTATTCCAAGGCCACCTATGTAAACATCTGCCACGAGAGCATGCCAGTCACGGGTGTCATTATGAAACGCTTGTTCCACAAGTGGTGCTGAAGGGAGGCTATAAGGTTTAGAGGTAAGCCTTTTGGGCCATAGAGGAGGCCAACTGGAAGCTTCAGGTGGAAGCTGGGGAAGACATTTTTGAAGAGGTGAGTACCATGACATATTTCTCCCCATTTCACACATTGGCGGTTCATTCTTTTCACGTTCCCTGTAGCACGATGGAGAGACTGGTTTCTGATACACCACAAGCCCAATTCCTGTTGATGCCATGGTCTTTGCCACTACCTTCCAGCACATCGATTTTGTTAAAGCTACCATGGCTGCAATAAAAAAGCATACAACAGAGATCACAGACATATTCAACACTTATTGACATCAAACTCCCTGTTAGGAAATCGACATACAGTTCCATACGGTCACGTCCTTTTCATCGTTGCGATAGACTGGTGTAGCAGACCAAATGAAGAGCCCCCCAGGCCTGAGAATCCTGTTGAGCTCCAATAAAGGTTTGCCACCTACAAAACAAAATATGAACAAGAACATAAGGCAGATCAAATACAAAGTCCTTACTGATTGGGAAGCTAAACATAGCAAAGTAAATTACTTCATCAATCAAAAGCTGGCAAGCATATCAAACAGACATGTTGACCAATAAACAAAACTTAAGTTGGACAAATATAAGCTACTGCAATGTAATGCAGAAGAAATTATCAAGTGGCATTTTCATTCCACTTGCTCTAACCAGATACTCTACATTCCAAATCTGTCAGTTTTGTCCAAACTCAACCTATGCTCGAGAGAAACACAATCCTAAAGAACTCTAATGCATAATCTTCCACAGAAGACAGAAGAACAAGAGACTTAGAAAGGAGATCTCATAAGACCGATAAAGGAACAAGTTATAGAGAAAAACATTTTCACCATTGGTGATTGGTGTATATACAAATCTACAAAAATGAATTTGTGAATGATGCAAGTCAGAGAGGATTAAAAATAGTGGATATAACTGAACAATGAATTAAGTAAAGCAGCTATAGTTGAAAATTGTGGCAGCGCTTTGATCTTCTCAAATCAATGAACTTGAACTGCCTCCCAGTAATCCACTACTAAAGCCTAATCCCAATTAAATTTCCTTCACAATATATTTTTCAGCAAATGACTTTCATCCTCAAGATCCAGATAAATGAACTTAAGACTCTGCTTGTGTATTGTGTAATACATTAGCAGACATAAAACTATACATCAAGAGCGTAGCGAAATTGAGTGGCTAAGCTGCAGTTTAACAACAAGCATGAATTTTTCTTAGAGTCATACTAAGTAATTAAATACTGCACAAATTATGCTCTGATACAACCCCTTATTTTTCCAAGTTTAGCATCACCTTAGTTATTATCATGTTGCAGAAAGCTATCATATGAGACACATGAGAAATCAAACAAAAGTATGAGGTGGCTCTCAGGAAGTACCATCTGCATCCCAATGAACCCTGCACCTAGCACAATGAATGAGATCATAGGCATTGTCTGGAAATGTTAGTTGTTGAGTTCCAATAACTGAAAGAAATGCAGGAATTCCACGTTCTAGAGCAAACTGTATTTGAGCTTCGTGTTCATCTTTAGGGGCCAATGACATGGTAAGAACATCTCTATCCAACAAATGCCCTCCAAAGCTGGCAACTCCACAACCAACATCCAGAACAACCCTGATGTTTTGACCCCATTTGACAAGGGGTGTAGCCTAATAAAGAGTAAAAGAAGAGTCAACATAAAGGCATATAGAGCAACAAAGACTATTTACAAGCAAAACGGATGAGAAAAGTTGGTAAATTCTGCTACAAGTTGACACAGGTTCTAATCAAACTCTGAAATCTTGTACAATAAAGACAAATCTTGTAATTTATCATAATTGTCATATACTTGTATATTTGTAATAACTTATCATGAGACCAGGGTGACATTTCAATCTATAGGCAACTTATAAGTTATCACTTTAGTCAGGGAAGAACTTTTAAAGTCAGAATTAATATTTTAGTATTCCATTAAATATTATTTTTCTTGGCCAGGAAGGCGGATATGTTCTACCCAAAAGTATATCAGACACCAGATGCAGTGATGTAGTATAAGAATTTTATCTTTCAACCAAAGTAGTACTAGTATCATAAATTTCTGTGATGTTTTTAAATAACAAAACAAAATCGAGAAATATACCCTTTCAATAAACTGGATATAGTTTGCAACACCTTCCTTAAATTGAGTTCCACCTCCAGGAAAAATAAAATGATCACCTGACTTGACAACCCAATGCTGGTCCTTCTTGTAGTCTACTAGCTTTGGGTGAGGGACATTGTCATACCAAATCTGTGTCATAAACAAAATTGTTGAGCAAACATTAGACTAACATATCAGAAACGTGACAATCCTAAAATGCAAGTAAAAGTAGCGTCGAGAAGAAAAAACTGGTAGCACAATCATCACGCTGACTTTCTAGTTCATGGAAGAATACACCCCAGCACCAAAATACTGAGACAACTCATGTAAAACTACAATTTCTTCTACTATTAATCATGGCCGAAAACACTTTGGTAGAAAAAAAGTACAACTCAAGGTAGCCAGTAATACATTCATACACAACGTTACTCAAATCAGGTATTAGTGTTCGACACAGACTCGTGTACTAAAGTCACTCAGCTAAGTTCCATGTTTTTGGTCCATAACGAAGCAAGTTGCAACAAGACACTCAACAGTTTATATAACAAATCTATGTTGGAGAGTCGAGGATCCAACATAGACACTTGAGGTAAAATTAAGGGTCGTAATCACACATGTAAACCACACGGAATTAAGTACAATTAAAAATGATCATCTTCCATGACATAACTAACGCACACCAAATCAAAACATCCGCCCATGTGCAATCATATCCTACTTCAGAACAACTCTTGTATGTCCAAATAACTCCAAGTTTCTTTTCTTGTATTCCAATACACTACAATACATTATAACAACTCATACATAGCCACATGCCACATTTCATTTGACAATCTACTGTATGGTTTATACCTTAACTAACCTACTCCTAATTTCATTAGTCTATAATTATACTTTATTTAAAACACACGTATACTACTGATCAACAATTATTAAAAGTATCATACCAAATTTTTAATAATATAATCCCCTTGTCCAGAACTCGGCAAATCTAATGCAAACATTATTATAATTTCACTGTGTCATACACCAAACTTTCCTATTCTGTGGCCCTTTAAACATTCTCAATATTATACCCATTCCATTTTTTCTTTTAACCTATGATCTAATATAATATAAAGTCTTATGAATTTTCTAATGATTCTTTAGAAAGTAAGTTTCTAACCATTGATCTACTGAAACAGTGCAACAATGTAAACAGAATTCGATGTTAATCCTAGATTTCAACTTCATTCCATCCCGAGCTACCAACTAAGCTATATGACATCCACGCGTATGATAAGTTTTTACACAAACTGTTTTTTAACCTATGATCTACTGTAACATTCGATATAAATCCTAGATACCAACACCAAACCATCCCGCACGAGCTACAAGCTAAGCTAGATGACATCCACAACACGACACAACACCGCTCGTACTCCTACATGAAATCAATCGGAGTAATAAAAAGAAAAAACTAAAACCTTACCAATACGCAAGTAACAAGCTCACCATGTCCCTACTTTTAGGCCAGGGGATAGGAATCCTATAACCTCTCGGCAACGGCACCAAACAACGAGAATTCGGCGTAGGGCAATGCCGCTCTCTATGTTCCATATGCTTCCTCGATTTCAAAGCCTTAATCGCTTTCCAATTATCAAGGCAAGGTATATAATCAACCGCCGACAATCCACCCTTACACACCTCCCATTTCAAATTCAACAGATCTCCGTCGAAATCAATCTCGCCGGAGACGCTAACCTTCGCCGGAGATTCCGGCACCTCGATCGGAGCGGCGACAACGGCGGAAGGTTCTGGAGAGATTGTTAGAGGTTCGAGAGGCGTGCCGCGGCGAGAGAAGTTGAAGGAAGGGAGAGAGAAGGAGGAGGATTGAGAGTTGGAGATGAGGAGGAAGGTGAAGGAGAGGAAGAGGAGAGAGAGGATGAAGATGAAGGGGTATTTCTTTTCATGGAGGAAGGTTGAAGATGAAATCGCCATTGTTGAACAGAGGAAGAAGGAAGAAGGGAGAGTTTGTTGGTGGGAAAATAAATTAGTTACGGAGTGCGTGGAGGTGTGTGTCAGAAGAAATTCAGAGGAGAGAGAAAGAGAGAAAAGAAAAGAGGGATAAAATTTATGAAATTTTTGATGAAGTTTGATCGTCAAATTACGAGGAAAATGGCTGGAAGCGAAAGATTTAAGATTTATGGCGAAAGTATGTTACTCTTTGTTTGGCAATTATCATCAAGTTGTTGACCGCTTCTTCTTGAACGAACAAAATGATCCGAATGAACTAGTAAATCGTACACAGAGTCTTAGTCTTAACTCTTAAATTAAGATTTTATCGGTGATAAAGAAAAAATTTGATTTGGGATTTACTTGTATTAGGAGATATTATGAGAAATCTCGGGTTTATGGATTTGTGATAGTTGTGAGTTTAATTGTATATGAATGTAAAAATGTTGTTTGTGGTGAGATTATTTGTACTCCTTGTCTAATATTTTTAAATTGAGCATCTTTAGCTTTGGCAAAAGTGTAGTCTTGGGGTGAGGTATTACTTGATTAGCTTAATAACAACTAGATGGTGATGCATGTAGAGTAAAGATTCCATTGGTTAAAATTTTAAGATGGAGGGAGTAAGTTAACATTATATATTTATTTTTTCATTTAAAATCACTTTAAGGTTCAAACTAAAAGTTTAAAAGTTTTGATACAATAATGTATAAAAATACATAGTCATTTGATTACGTAATACTACTTATTATATTTATTTTAATGTGTAAGTTATGCAAATTCAATTGTGTAATATGAAATCTACACTATATTTTGAAACTCCGTAATATTTTAGTTTAATATATTAAACCATGATTTTATTGTCTTTTTTATGTTTACAGTATTTGATTGATTACGCTAATGCACTAGTTGAACAAAACCAAATGGAGAAAAATAACGTCACATGAGCGGCAGAGTATTAGAGCAACTGTTAATTAGTTTTTGCTAAAATTAATGATCTTATATTTCTGTGAAATGCTTGTTTATTGTTTCCTAGGAGTATCTAAATCTGATCCAGGTAGCTCAATTTTCCATGGCAACAATTTCAAGGTGAGCACCGATTTATTTTAAAGGGTAAATAAAAATGATTTAGAAAAAATCGTCAGCAGCAGGATTCGAACCTGCGCAGGCAAAGCCCAACAGATTTCGAGTCTGTCTCCTTAACCACTCGGACATACTGACGTTTGATGACCTACGAAATATTAAATATATTTTGTATTGTAAAATTTAAATAATAGAAGCAAAATAAAAACAAATCGCCCACCGTACGACCACAAGGTTAAGAGCCTTGCGCTCTACCAACTGAGCTAGACGGGCTTATTGGTAATAAATTCTTTATTAAATATTTAAACAATGTTAAATTTTTTTGTTTTTTCTATTTTTGAGGAATAAAAAAGTTTTTTATTCTTATTAAATGAAATAAATCATCCTCCCCAAGATATTCCTTGTACCCAAATGTTTTATGTACGTAATACGTAGTATATGTAAACTCTTTATATATAAACTCAACACTTTTTTTAAATTTTATTGTTTGGACTTTGGAGAGTCTATTTCTGGAAAATTGGAAAATAATAATCTAACCTCTAAGCGGTCTTCTTAAAACAGTCTCAACTTTAATTTAACTCAGAATTCCAACCTTTCCCACCCCTCATCTCATATTGGTCCACGGTGACTGGCAATCTATCAAAAAGGTTGGAACTTGCTGACGTGTCTTTATTAATTGTAGTCAACATAATTTCCACCTAAATTCGTCCTTTTGCATTCAATTCCCTCCAAAAAAAAAATGATGACCGCCATTTACTCTTCTCTTCTCACCTAATGTACTCTAAAACCTCCTAAAGAAGCTACTGCCATTGTTGTACAAATATGAAGCTTGCCCAAAGAGGAACGACTACAATACAGGTATGTTATCTTCTCCTAATTAATTAGAGCAACGTATTTTGGGTTTTATTGGTGTAAAATGCGATATAATTATGAAATTAGAGGGGATTTCAAAAAGGCAGTGACAAAGTATGCAATATTGCAAGGGAGGAATTTGAGCATTGTATGCAGCAACAAGTATAGACAGCAAAGACTGGGAGTAAGGTGTACAGTAGGTTGTCCCTTTTACATGTACTCTTCTTGGGATTCTCGGAGGGCAACATTTGTTATTAAGACAGTTGAGGACAACCATACTTGTCACAGGAATATAAAAAAGAATAAGCAACTAAAGTCTACTTGGCTAGCATAGCAATTTATTGAGGTGCGTGTTTAAGGCAAGACCGCCTTGGCCTGCTAAAGAGATAGTCGAGACAGTGAGGAGAGCCTACAAGGTTATTGTGACTAGGGATTTTGCTTATAAAATCAAGTACTATGCACACAGGTTATTGCATGGGTCAATGCAAGAGCATTACCAAAAGGTGGGTAGGTATTTGGAGGCAATAAAGAACACTGCTCCTGGCACAAAATTAGAGTTAGTAACTATAGTGAGTAACTAGGGGTGTAATCCTATATTTCAAACGTTATTCACCTGTTTTGAGGGTTTGCAAAAGGGATGGAGAGAGGGTGCATAAAAGTGATTTGTGTTGATGCATGTTTCATCAAAACATTCCTCGGGGGACAACTGTTATCTGCTATAGGAAATCAATTTAATAATAATATGTAGTTTTCTTTATATATGCATATACATTTATACATTATTCTGTTAGCAAATCAATTTACACTTCTCTTGTTTTCTTGGTTTTGTGTGTTTGTTTGTGTGTTTAAGGCCATTTTACATGTTGTGTCGATTGTTCTACCAAAAGCAGAACATCGGCATTGTGCAAGGCATATTTTTGCTTTATGGCACAAGTCATTTAGAGGTGATGAAATGAAGCTTCTTTTCTGGAAAATTGCTAAATGTTATAGCATGGCAGATCATTTGGATGCTCTAGCTGAGTTGAATGAAATTAACCGAGATGCTTCTAGTGCTTTCCAGTCTTACAATCCTCAAGTGTTTTGTAGAGCATTCATGGATTCATCCATTAGGACAGATGCCATAACAAACAATATGGCGGAAACCTTTAATGGTTACATAATAAATGCTAGGACTAAACACATTTTATACATGTTAGAAGACATTAGAGTGGCATTAATGCAAAGGTTAGTTTTGCAACGACAAGAAATGGAAAAGTCAACCTCAATAATCTGCCCCAGGATTCAAGCAAAGCTAGAAAAGGAGAAGACTAAAGCTGCTAATTGTGATGTGTTTCCTTCAACTGATACATTATTAAATGTATCATACTCTTTGGATCAGTTGACTGTTGATTTAGAGAATTAAACTTGTACTTGTAAGAAATGGCAAATGTTGGGTATTCCTTGTTGCCATGCTTGTGCATGTATTTTTTTCCAACGTAGAGAGGCTGAAGAATTTGTGGATAATTGTTACATGAGGGACCTCTATTTAAGGGCTTATGGAGGGTCAATTCCTCCAATTGAAGGAGAGAGGCATTGGCCTCGGATTGACACAAATCTTAACCCATCCCCTATAAAGATTGACTCTGGTAGGCCTAGGAGAAACAAGAGGAAAGATCCGTTTGAGGATCCTAAAAAAACCAGGAAAGCTCAGTAGGCACGACATGGAGATGACATGTAGTCTATGTCATGTTAAGGGCCATAACAAAAGGCGATGTCCTAATCGAGATAGGGCAGTGGTGCAGGAACCTCCCTCCAAAAAAACCAAAGGGAAGGCCAAGGAATACTTGTTCAGCCCCTCAAACTTGTTCAGCCCCTCAAACTTGTTCTTCAACACTTGCTACAACAGAGCACTATTCAGCTACAGCACAACCTTCAATGTTAGGCAGAGGAGGAAGAGTAATCAGGGGAGGAAGGGGATGAAGGGGAGGCAGAGGAGGAAGAGGGGGTAATCAAGCAAACTCAACCGAGGTGTCTAATGAAAGAGAAGGATCTAAGGAGGAAGACGATCTGGAGGTGGGAGAGGCAAACATGGAAGGGGTTCAAGGGGAAGGGGATTCCAGGTGCCTTATACTAACCTCATACCAACCTAATAAATTTTTATACCACACTAAATATTGTACTTATGTAACTTTTTATTTTTTTTTATTTTTTATTTTTGGCACCAGGTACCAAGGGGTGTGGGAGTTTTTATTGCTGATGATGGATCACCTTGGTTTAATGTAATATTTTTGCTCTCTGAATGTTTATCTATGGACGTATTTTTTCTATAATTTGCTAATGCATTCCACTCAGTACAACATTCTGGGCAAGCAACAATAGTGCAACACACGAGCCAGACCACACAACAGAAAAGTCAAGCTTCAACAGTGAATCAAGCACCTCATTAGATTATGTATAATAAATTGCAGTAGGCTATACTATCATTTTGGATTAATTGAAAAAAAAAACAATTATTGATGTTTATTATTATAACTTTTACAACTAAGTAGCTTTTGGATGATTGTAAGTTTTTGACACACTTCAAGTACCTTTTGCAATGTACTTCAAAATTCAATCCAAACTGTAATCATCTTTACAGCATTTCACATTAATATAAGTGTTTACATCAACCATAATGCTTACTTGATTCTTACAATTTTTCAAATAACTTCATATATTTATTTCTAACAACAAAATACCTCACAAAGTTCAATACATAAACACTTACTGCTTCAAATAAAATACAAGAATAGCAAAACAAATCAAAGAGAATATCAAAGCTAGTGAGAAATTCATTTCATTCCTTGCACAATTCATAAGCTCGAGTCTCATTTGGCAGAGCTCCTGCTTCAAATCTTGCACATCATCCTCTAATTTCTTTTTTTTTTTTGGATTGCACCCTCTTCACTTTTTCTTACAAATCTGTCTTCTCATGCTCTAATTCAACAATTCTGGTGTCCTTCTCTAAAATCTCCAATTGATAATCAACATTCCTACTATTATCTGGTATCCACCCAAAAAAACCACATCTTCAACCTATTGCACACAATTGCCCAATTAAACCCACAAATTTCATATTTAAACCCTAGAATTTGAAATTAAAATCCTATAAATTGAAATTAAAACACTACAAATGCCATAGTAAATGATCATAATCACACACACTTACTGCCCATTTGCAACACCCCCTAATTTTTTTTTTCCAAAATTAGGGCCTTTTTGAGCAATTCGCACAACAGCATCAAGGTTATGGTGACACTTGAGCCTTGGTTGAAACCCCACCATACCGCTAGAAGACGACCCAGATCCATAGCATATTGATTTTTTGGACGCCATTGAAAGAGATAGCTTCAAGAAAAATAGAGAAAATTGTAGAGATTTACCGACACAGAAGAAGAACGTGGATTGCAGAGCTCCAACATTAGAATTTTGACAAGGGAAGATAAAGGAGAGGGGGTTTGTTTATATTAGGACTTTGGAATTTAAAGAGAAAAAAAAAAACTAAAAACTGTCATTGCCACGTAGGATGGATTACCTACTGTATGTTACAATTGACGAAGGACCAATATGAGAAGAGGGGTGGGAAAGGTTGGATTATTAAATTTAAAACGGTAGAAGCAAAATAAAAATAAATCGCCCACCGTGGGGCTCGAACCCACGACCACAAGGTTAAGAGCCTTGCGCTCTACCAACTGAGCTAGACGGGCTTATTGTTAATAGATTCTTTATTAAATATTTAAACAATGTTAAATTTTTTGTTTTTTCTAATTTTGAGGAATAAAAAAGTTTTTATTTTTATTAAATGAATGAAATCATCCTCCCCAAGGTATTCCTTGTACCCAAATGTTTTATGTACGTACTACGTAGCATATGTAAACTCTAAATATTTATAGTTGTATACCCTCTTTATATACTCCGTATAAACTAAGCACTTTTTAAATTTCATTGTTTTGGCTTTGAAGAGTCTATTTTTTATAAGAAAGTTAATTGTATTATTGTCCTATATGCACGTATATGTTTCCTAACATAACATTATACTTCAATTCGCCGAACAACTAATAGTGTTTAAATATCTAAACATACTACTTATTTATATACCTCTCTCACAATTCTTTTTTTATTGTTTTTTTTGTTGAAATTGAATTTCTTTTCTACGTTAAATCTGGTAAAGTTCAATCAGTGAATGAGCACATTAGATATTCCCACTATTTCGTTGAGTAGATGTTCGAAAACATAGGATTTGAAATTTTTAAGTAGAAAGTAAGATTTCACACAAGTAAGCGTTTGTAGTCCAACGGTTAGGATAATTGCCTTCCAAGCAATAGACCCGGGTTCGACTCCCGGCAAACGCATTTTTAAAATTCAACAACTTTTGCTGCCTATTTTTAGCTTTGAAACAGTGATATTGGTGCAGTGGTGCTTATGGTTCTTCCAATAATATATTCTCTTTCATATTTCTACCTATTGAAGGCATTGTCTATCCATTCTTCAACTTGGTCCTTATGTATAATTTCTTCCCCTTTTATCCATCCTGGCATCCTCTGTATTCATTCTCAGATTAATTTTTTCGCACAGTTTCAACAAACTGAGGATCAGAAACACTGTCGATTATGCCATAATATTGTCCATCAAACGACCACTGTAAAAACCAAAATGTGCCCATATAAATTACAGCTAAATTCATGGATTGATGCTCCCTCTTCCTGCCTTCACATAATGTTCTGTTAGGATTTGGTAACTAAGTTATATAGCTAATTTCATGCATAGATGCATCGTCACCTAATGTTCTTAACGCTAGTTAGTACTAACTGATTAACTTAAACCTACAATTATATCATAAGTAGATTACAGCTTTCTACTCCGCTACTCTGACGTTCTTCATCAGTTGGACAAAGTCTATCAAATAGTTTGTGCCTATGTGGGGATGACATTTGCAGACATGTAAGGTGACATGCAACCTTGTACCTGAAGAGAAAGATCATAAAGCATTAGCAAAGTCAAGATGTTAAGGTTTATAAGAGTTTATTGAATGTAAGAAACAATGGAACTGATAAAATATTATGCATCCAGTAATCACATCAGGAATAAATGTTGGTTCATAAATTTGCCTGCCCCTTCTCAAAAATTAATAACACTCCTTCATCCTTGTAAATAAAGCCACATTTAGATTTTGAGCCATAGCAAAATAACAAGCTGTCTAACATTTAGCAAGTTAAGTTTTCCAATATTACAGTAGATGATACCGCCAGCAAAGAATTTTATGAAAGATTAAACTTAAGACACGATTGAGATTTTGAGAAAATTAAAAGGAAAAAAAAAAGGCTTGTGCAAGTAATCAGTCATCCTGCCTCGAATAATCCGCCAATCAATAGTTCAATAAGATTTTTCAGTATTGCATTAACGACGTATGAAGGGCAAAGGAAATTACAGACCCTAACGAGCTATGGGGGAAAAAAATCATAAAGAAAAACTATTATCATACCTGAAGCAAGCCAATAGGTATCTGAATATATCCTTGTAGGAGAAGATCTACACCAGCTAGGATATTCTGTGGAACAGGTGTGATCAAATAGATCACGTTCTTCAATGAATCAATGCCTCTCACGATACCTGGACCGCAGAATAACATTAATACAATCAGACAACTATGCCCATACGCCAATGAATAGTGTGCTTTGCAAATAGCAAATCAACCACAATATTTCTTTTGAAATTAGAAGTGTGATCTGTGGCATAGAAAACAAAATACAGCCCTGCAATTAATTTTAATACTGATTGTGTCTTATAGATGTATCATATATAGGACATACCAAGGCCAACACAGACAGGCAAAGATTGAGAGTCTTCACAGCTAACAGCCAATCCTACTATTGTTGCATTCAAACTGTAGAAGACTTCAGAAATTGGTACCTAGCACAAATATTACATAAAAATGACCTTGATCATTGGAACATAAATGACAATGGTCTACAAATAATGACATCAAATAGAAAAACATGTAATTACAGGAGTAGTGATAGTTCAAAAACATAAAAGTATAGGAACTTGGTAAGGAGCAATTAAAACAACAAACCTCACAATGAAGATGCCTGATTTTGATACTTGATATATGGACTTGGTAAGGAGTAAGAGAGGCTACTGCAAGAGCAAGTTCTTTGATCGTGGTGATACTCATACTACTTGGAAAGCACTGCCTAAAGTAAGCCATCAGTCGTAGCTCTCTAATAAGACGTGCTTCCTTCTGCACCAACACCCTGGGAGACGGTTAAACCAACACATGAGGAAAAAAAAAAAAGAATTGATTCTCTTAATCTTCAGAAGAAGGGTTCAAACAGTGATTTATCTATTGACGAGAAATCTAAGAGTAGAAACAGTAATCAACACTAAAACAAGGAAAAGAAACAGTGATCAACACTAAAACAAGGAAAATTGATCCCTCAAGTCCAACCTGCAGCAAGGAGTGAACGAGATAAATGCTGTTCACTATTCAGAGGGGAGGGGGTGGACAATGAAAGAATAATTTCCTGCGTTTATAAACTGTTATTTCGGCTGGCAACAACTTCAGATCAATTTAATTAAACAATTACCCCTGAGGCAAATCTACCCCATTAGTCAAACATTCTTTTGTCAAATTTGGTTAGAATGAACCAGGGACCAGATATAAGTGTTCTAGAAAAAAGATAAGGTTGATATAGATTTTGTTTGAAAATTAATAGAACATGCAAAACCTAAACCAATCCAGGTGTCAAATTATTATTGTGCCTACATCAGGTATAGTTAACAATCGCCTAACATCAATTTTTTCCTTTAAAGCCAAACATTATTGGTCATCAGGTTCAAACATATAAGCGCTACAGCTAGATTTTGTAAAAAACAGTCTAAAACTCACAACAGAATTTGTAGAGAAGTAATAATGATAACACAGATTTGAATAGTTGCAGATTTGCAGCCACATAAATCTACCATTCCACCAGTTCACATAAATATATATATTTCAAGAACTTACGATCGGTTGTAAGAATCCTTGCAAGCAGAAGTGATCTCCACCAAGTTTACGGAACATTCATCAAGTTCATCAAGCCAGAATGCGCCACTAGGTAGATTCTTGCGTTCAGAAGATATATTTATCTTAACCACATGTGTAGCAGCAATGTGCTTCAATATATCAACCAGTATATCAAAACCAAGACCTGTTGTGCAATAAGAATGTGAGTAACACATCAATAGTATGCTCAAAGAAGAAGAAAAGTACAATATTGAAGAAAATAAAAGTGATAGTTTCACAGCCTACCTTTCACCCAACCAGGCGTGTTAATAATAAGGGGCAGCTCAGCTGCACCAGGGCTTCCATTCTTACATGAAATCCTTAGGTCCTTTCTATAGTGATCATACAACGCAAATATGCAATTCAAGTATGTTTCAGGGTCCCTTTTTGAAGAAACATCTCCAAAGAAATAGCATCTGCAGACACCCATGCAAAGAAACAGCTATCATTGATTATATCTCAAGATTAGCACATTCACAGAAGGAGGTTCGATGTTTTTGTGCAAGCTTATCAGGTATTACAACCAACACATACCAAACACAATAAATTAAAGCATACAGACATAACATGTCCATTTACTGCATACGAGAAATTAGAGCATAAGAAAACAGAGCTCCAAATAGAAAAAGGCAATGTCATACGTCAAACCCAAGCATAATGGTCAATAATGACGTTGCAGATGCATCTAATTTTTATTTTTTTTCACCAACAATATGATTGACAATTTCTTAAAGGACATGAAAGCATATATTACAATAGGACGTTTACCTTTGAGGTGTCTTCAGACAAGGGATTGTTAAGTCTGGATGAAGGAAACAAAATTAATTAGAAACGGGAAAACATTATAATAATTAGCGTCTTCTGATGAAACGCATTCTATAAGTTAAAAGTAGAGTATACCTTGTATATATATTTTAAAATATAACACATACACACAGATAAGAACAGGGAAAAATTAAATCCCAAAATTAAAGCACCTGGAGTTGCTTCATCAATGATAGTGAGGGATAGGCATCCAGGAGGAGTGAACTCTGGTTGTCCAACATCTGTATCCAGATAAGCTACACTTTTGTATCTGCCAACCAGAAGCAATCATAATATCATTGAGTGACATAAGTATAAAAAATATTCACTTTTTTCAACATCACAACAGTTTAATAGTTAATACATCTGGAAGGAAAAAAAAAAAAAAAAAACTTTCAATGCAGAAGTAACTAATGGTTGCTCCAAAGTCTACCAAGAAATCCAAGCAAAAACCGATCAATACAAGTTTGCCAGCAAACATAACAAAAATGCCTTGTTTTAAGTTGCAGACTGTTTTGAGAAACAATGGCTTTTTTATCAGTCTGCATGCTCAAGTTCAAGGGGACACAAACAAATGTAAACTTCTTTTTATAAAAATTCTAAAAAGAATCTTTCAAGGAAATAAACTCAGCAGGAAGAGTATCAGCATAAGCTCAAATTCAGTTAACAATTTGATTGACAAAAACCAATCAGCAACAGATTTGAACTATTAAAACTACGAAGTAGAACATAAATTATGTAAACGATGTTCGGTTACACAGGTTCATTACACAAACTAATACAATCCAAAATATTATTGTTCCATACAAAATCTTGGAGGTTCATGTAAGACCCTAAGTACATTCCAACTTTACCAACAAAGTATTCAAGTTCACACAGTATACGAATAATACTCCGTAGCAAAACCAGCAATTAAACAGAACAATCACAAAATGAAACAGAAAATCTGTAAAAATCTTCAACTTCCCGAAAAATGCCATATAATTTCGAAGGGAAAAGGGAAACTTATTAGTTCTGACATGAAATTATTTGCCAATATACAAATAGAGAGGAATCTAACCTAGGGAGGAAAGTGTTAAGGAGATAACGAGAGAAAGTGGTTTTGCCACTGTTCTTAGCGCCGCAGATGAATACAACAGGAGGCAGTGATCTGGTAAAACTTTTTGCTATGGTGTATGCAGCAGCTGACCATTCTTCGGGAATCTCTATGCCTGGTGATGGGGTCTTTCTTATTGGAGCAAAAGCCGCCATTCCTTCTCCTCTTCTCACAAATTGTGTAGTGTATGTGTCTGCAGTGGCGAAATCAGAAATTTTACAAACATGTTTATGAGAAAGGGTGCACCTTATTGCTGGGTGTATATAAGAAATTTCATCGAATATGAGATCAAATAGATTAATCACATAAATCAAATTTCAATACTATAGTCCAAAATACCAGTATCTAAACTTTTATCCTTCATCTTTCATGCTAAATGAACTTCCCAAATCATTACAAATTGATAATCACTTTATAATCATTGGAAATATTGCAGATTTTGGCAAAAAAAAATTAACCTTGTTCTGCAATTAAAACATATGAATTGAATATCCTACTAAATACCAATTTCACCCAACTACCAAATTTCAATATAGCATCATTACATCAACTGATCAAAATATAATAAGATAAGCAGTAATCTTAATATATCAAGAAAAACATCAAATTAATCACGATTAAGAGCTAGGTTATGAGCTTAAAAAAAAGAAAATTCAAATTAACATTGACATACACTAAAAAAATTCAAACATTAAACATACAACAGCAGTTAACAGATAACATTAGTAAAATTAGAGCAACAAGGTGACATACAATAAGAATTTATATAAAAAAAATTATGAAAATTGCAATTGGGTAATTCGATTTACCTGCTACTACTATGAGTATGAATGCGAGTGAAAAAGTAAGTTTACAAATTAGAAGTGAAAATCAAATGTAAAATCCCATGTATGATGGATGAAGAAAGAGTTGAGATAGTACAATAGTAGGATTTTTGGGTTTGGAGAATCCAGATTTTGACATGTCGAACAAAATTTTCACAAACAAGGAGGAAAACAACAAATAGGTTTTGGAAAGAACCAAAAAAAATAAAAAAACGGTTTTTTTTGGGATTTTTTTTTTTTTTAGTTTTTTGTTTTTCTAAAAACAAAAAACGGAAAACAAGAAAAAAGTATTTTCATTTTTTTGTTGTCGGTATTCTAAACTATGAGAATTTTAATAAGTTTGACTAATTTTTTATTCATTATAAGACATATATCATATGATTTTGAAATTCAAAAAACCAAAAAACAGAAAATCACAGCAACGCCAAACAAATCCTAATAGTTACTTAAAAAAAAAAAAAAAAAAAAAAAAAAAAACCGTAGGAGGAAATAAGGTTATCAAAGAAAAGTTTGTGTAAATCAGCGTTTGTAGTCCAACGGTTAGGATAATTGCCTTCCAAGCAATAGACCCGGGTTCGACTCCCGGCAAACGCATTTTTTTTTGTGGGAAATATACTCTGACTAGGTAAATTTATAAAATTTCTTGTATATATATTAGAATATGTTTTATTATTTAAGTTGTATAGAATTATTTATTTTTAAAAAAATACATATATGGCACTATTTTATGTTTGTAATTATAGATTGAGTAGACGAGTATCATAAACATCTACATTTTTGCCCCCTTAAATACCCATATCATGGGTCCATAGAAGAAGTTTGCTTAAAACTAATTTAGCTATAATTAGGACCAATTAAAACGTAGCATTTATCAAATGCTTTTTGAATATTACTTGTATTACGAATAGTACGTAGAATTGATGGGATGATTAAGACATACTAGCTTCCAATTTGGTGTTAGTGACAAAGATATTAATTCTTTACTTGTTCAAACACACATTATGGAATTGATTCAATTCATTATGCCTATTGACAACGACTCAACCCTATAAACTTTGAGTCTTCCTTCTACTCGTACCTAACAAGTCAATTGGTTAGTCGTTGAAGGAACATTCATTTGATCAACGCTTTACTTTTTCCTCTCTTCAAATTAATGGAGCTTATCACACAATGTAGATAATTGCCTTTAGTCGATCCATGATAATAAAAGTTGTTATCTATATTGGCTCAATCCCTTGTAATTTATGATATAATCAAAACACCCTATTCTATTTTATTCCATTTATTAAGGGCCGCATATAAGAAAATATAATCATAAACCACTGGTAATTAATTTATTTAACGCATACATGTAAAAAATTAATAAAATCATAAACTATCGACCTAATTTTAAAGTTTTTCTTTTGCATAATAACTATTTAATTTAGTATTGTACTCCGTATTTATTTAATTTACTTGTATATACTACAACAAGCATTATTATATCGCCTTTATATTACTTTAAGAGGAAGCTAGGTATTGTATATATAAACCACTGCTAATTAATTTATAACTTGGTGTTGACCTTGCCGTCCATGCATTTCATATTATGTTTTTTTTTTTGAAAGCATATTATGTTGATGTAGTGATATGTGCATAGTACGTAATTGACTGTTTCTATTTTTTTGGTACTCTAAATTATAAAATTACTACGGAGTACGGAGTATAACATTAATTAGTCAAACATTGTAACTGACTTAGTTAATTATTCATAAAAACAAGGAATTATTTTTTTATTTTCTTTTTTATCCCTCTAATAATCCTCTTAGCTTGATGGAATAATTGAAACGTTGTGTTCTCATAAATGTTGAATCAAGAATGGCTGGTTTCAAATTTAATCTAATGTTGATTGTTTAGGACATAGAATTCCGTAAAACACTACAAATAATTCCTCGTAAGATTTTGGGTGTAATATCCAAATTAATCACCAATTCTTAGAATTAATTGTCTTTCTTGACTAAGCTAGGACTAGTTAATTTTCATGTGTTTCATTATATCCTCATATTTCTTTCTTTCAAAATATTTTTTCATGCATTTGCATGAGAACTCCATTTATGTAGGGCTCGTTTTTCTTGATACATGCATTTTGTTCATTACTTCATTCAGAACGTAATGTTGTCAACCCGCATTTATTTCATTCCAATTCAAGTAGGCAAGTACTAAATTTTGTATATATTTATTAACCTTTTAGTAATTAAGATAATTATAATTAATTAAACTTCAATGTTTGAAGTACTCGTACTAAATTAAAGCAACGATGAATATAATGTTTTTAGTAAATGTGAGAATAAACCATATATTAATATATATTCAATGACAAACAAAGTTTTACAACATTATAACAATCACTTTACGACGAAATTTTGTATCACATGTACCAACAATATACTCACTACTCAGTGTTTGCTAGCTGTACATGGAGCATGGACTTTATTCAATTGTGCTTGTAGCACATTCCATGCATGGTTCAACCATACATGTTAGATTGGCCTAGTATAACCTTGGGATATGATCGGGCACCACATGATAGATTTAAACTCGTCTTGACGTCGTATATAACATTAAGAATCAAAATAAGTTCTTACTTTTGGGAGGTATAATAGGAATGAAGTATAAATATAGAATATAAAGTAAATGTAAAGAAAAATAAATTAATTAAGTAGCTAATTCTTATTTTAGATTATAATAATTTTGATAGAATTGTTGGGAAATGAAAAGAAATAATTACGGAGTAAAAGATAAGACTTTTTTTTTTAATATTAAATTTTCACATTTTGACAGTTCAATTTCAATTTCACATTTTGACCCTTCAATTTCAATAGAAATGAAAGGAAAAAAAATTATGATAAAATAAAGCCAATCAATTAATTTCCTTTCAATTCCCTTACAACAATTATTAACCAATCAAATTAATCCATCTAATAACTATTAGATATCACATCAAATATGTAAACAAAGAAAATATCCTTTTTCCACTCATTTTCTTTTTTTTCCTTTTCCATTAACCATTAAAATCAAATTAACCTTTGTTATCTCATACAAAGTACTCCTATTACTTATTTTAGTGCGAGTCTCCACCAATCAAAATTGACTTCACTAAGTAAAACTAATTTTTCTCTAGTAAATATCAATTAATTGTCTTAGAGTATTTTCAGTACATAAATCTCGTATAAATCAATACTGTATTATTTAAGAAATTCATACCCATATAATCTTGATTATTAGAGACACAATATTCCCAAATGTCCCATTTCCAAAATAATTTATTATAGATTTGGGTCACAATTAGGGACAATTGGTTACAAACTTGCAAAATTTTCTGATTTCATAAATTTGACTTTTAATCTCAAAAAGGTCATATACTACCACACCTCTTCCTCTATCTCCTGCCCTTTTTCGCACAAAATTCCCACACAATAAAACCCAATTTTTTTATTTTTTATTTTTATACACAAATAAAATTTCTGGGGGTTGCTTCCGTTGGATCTTCCTGAAACCCGGAGATCAGATCACACCGGCAGAAAAGAGGAGAGAGAAAACAAGCAAAAGATTAGAACGAAAGAAGAAGAATTTTAACTGTAAATGGTTGTGCCCCCATTTTATAACTCTTCACTATTTCTTCCCTACCCAACTGTTTTTTTCTCTCTCCTTTTTTCACACTATTAGCATTGTTAAACCCAAATTCCTGATTCAAAGGAAGAGGAGAGATTACCACTCTTTGATCTGCTCATTCTTTGTGGAAATCCGCGGTTTTTTTTAGGTTGGTTTTGATTTACATTGCAACAAGATTTTAGATTTGGGTTTATTTTATTTCATTACTTTGATGTATGTATTTGCAGTTTGATTTTGTGGAGAGTTGGTTTTCTGGTGAAATTTTGTGATTTTATGTTGTGGGTATTTCAGAATTGCTGATATTTTGATTGTTTTGTGTATTAATTTTATTGGATTTTGACAATTGTTTTTTTGAAGGGATTAGTAACGAGTTTGAATCTTTGAGATGCCCACTTAAAAAGGTATTAGAGTTGTGTTTAGTACTAGGAGGGAGATTTGATTTGTATCGGGAATGAGACATTGTCAATAGGATTTTGATGGAAATTTTGACTGAATCTTGTGTAACGGCTGGTATTCAAGACCTGGGATCGAATCGAATTTCGTATACATCATTGCCCTTTTGCAGCTCCCTGGTCACCCGAAAATGAACTATCTTGTGTGAAGGTTAGACAGATTTTGGGTTATTGGAGAAATTGGGAAATGGAAATCAGCTTTGTATAGTTGTCTTACTGCCCTGACTGCTCTCTAGAGATTTATCTCCTATGAAATAATGTTAATGATGTGCTGAAACAATTTAGCTACTAATGTCTACTGCTTAGGGATAAGAACGCGTACGCCTCACCTCCTCAACATATCCAGATGTAGCAAGGTGGTTAGTAGGGGTTTATTTGGAACTGAAAAGAGTCTTTGACATGTTCTACGATTGCTAAGGTGTGAATTTGATTCAATTTGTGTAGAGTCTTACTATTAAGATATCTGTATGAGTGTATGAATTTGTTTTCTATGCTGCAAATAAATTAGTGAAGAATGCTAATTGACTTTCATTAAAGCTTTTGTAATGTCTTGAAAACTAACCTACCGATGGCGATTAGCCAATGATCTGTTTTGCAATGTGTTGAAGTCTAACCTACCAATTAGCCAATGATCTGTTTTATAATGTGCTGTATATTATTACCCGCATTGTTTTGCTGTATAAACTCCTTGAAGAATATAATAATGATGCTGTAGCATTTTTATCATAGCGAGTGTTTTACCGTTATGGGCATAGCCAAGCTGGTGAGCCATTTTTATTTTAGCAAAGAGTAACCTGAAAATATACTCTTTCCTAGCCCAGATTATTGTTTCTAAGAATTAGCAGCCTAGGCATTTCTGCATGTTTTCAATGTGTGTCTGCAAAATGCCTGAACATAATAGGATTTTCTCGGCAGTGATCTTGAATTATTAGAATGACTGGTTTTTGACTGAGTAATTATAATTTTCTCAAGCTAGAGGTTCAGAATTTTTCTGTTGGAAATTTATGGTCATTTACTCATACTCTGACACATGATTTTGAAATTAACTTGTTTGCAGGATTTTTGAATGTTAGTGTCTGGTCTGGAAAAGTGGCCCATTGTATACCCAAACATACCGTTTTCTGGGAGCAGCACGTAATATATATGTTGCCAGGAGACAGATGAGTGTGCTCCCATATTTTTAGAAAACCATGGTCTTTAGCAAAATCTCAGAAATCATCTCATCTGCAACAAATCGTCCATCCATGCGGCATTCCTCATCCATCCCATACATCCAAGCTGGATTATCACCTCCAAAAGGTTCTGGCCATGGTTTTAGTTTTAGCAGCCCTGGGCATATGAACAACATGAGGCTGTCTTCATCATTACAAGATTTTTCTCAATATCGTCGATTAGATCCTGAAAACGGTGATCAAAATGGTGGGATTGATGTCATCAATGCAAAGCCTCCTCATTCATCCCGTAAAGATATTTCCAGCCCTAGTTTCTCGAAGGATAAAGTGCCTCAAAGCAATCCATTTACACGTAAGAAATGGGTTAGAATATTGATGATCCTTCTTTGCCTGCTTTTCTTTGGTTTTCTTTTATTTATACTTGGTCAATTTCTTTATACTTTTTGGTCTGGTGGAACTTCCAAGTTTTACGTTGTGCTTGATTGTGGGAGTACTGGGACTCGGGTATACATATATGAGGCGTCTGTCGCTCACAAGAAAAGTGGTAATCTTCCCATTGTTTTGACATCATATTCTGGGGGAGTTAAGAAGCCAAAGGGACAAAGTGGACGGGCTTATAACCGTATGGAGACTGAGCCTGGGCTTGATAAATTGGTACGTAACTCGAGTGGTTTGAAGACTGCGATAAAGCCACTTCTCCGGTGGGCTGAGAAGCAGATCCCAAAGAATTCACATAAGACTACTTCTCTTTTCCTCTATGCTACTGCTGGTGTTCGTAGGTTGCCAAAACCTGACTCTGATTGGCTTCTTAATCATGCTTGGTCTGTTCTAAAAAGTTCCCCGTTTTTGTCTCAAAGGGAATGGATTAAGATTATCAGTGGTATGGAGGAAGCTTATTATGGCTGGATAGCTCTGAATTATGAAACAGGTGTCTTAGGGTCCATACCAAAGACAGATACTTTTGGTGCCCTTGACTTAGGTGGTTCATCACTGCAAGTAACCTTTGAAAGTAAGGAACCTGTTCTGAACAAAACTAACTTAAACCTGAGCATTGGACCAGTGAACCATCATCTCAGTGCCTATTCTCTTAATGGGTATGGATTAAATGATGCCTTTGACAAATCTGTTGTTCATCTTCTCAAAGGGATGCCAAAAGTGAGTATGGAAGACTTAGTTCATGGAAATGTTGAGATTAAGCATCCATGCTTACACTCTGGATATAAAAGTGAATATTTCTGCTCACTATGTGCTTCCCTGAACCAAGATGCTGGGAGTCCTCGTTATAGAGAGAAAGACCTTGGCAAAAGGGGCAAACCTGGAGTCCCTGTTCAGCTTGTTGGCTCTCCAAATTGGGCAGAGTGCAGTGCAGTTGCAAAGGTTGCTGTCAATTTGTCAGAATGGTCTGATCTTAGCCCTGGAATTGATTGTGAAGTGCAACCATGCGCTCTTTCTGAAGAACTTCCCCATCCTAGCGGTCATTTTTATGCAATGTCTGGTTTCTTTGTTGTCTATCGGTTTTTTAACTTGAGTTCAGAAGCAAACCTTAATGATGTATTAGAGAAGGGACATCAGTTTTGTGGTAAAACTTGGGAAGTTGCATATAAAAGTGTTCCTCCACAGCCCTTTATCGAACAGTATTGCTTTAGGGCACCCTACATAGTTTCATTATTGAGGGAAGGCTTGCACATAACTGATGGTCAGGTCATGATTGGCTCTGGTGGTATCACTTGGACACAAGGAGTTGCTCTTGTTGAAGCTGGCAAGGCATTTGCAACAAGAACAGAGCTTCATACACTTCAGCTATTTGAAATGAAGATAGATCCTGTTGTGATTTTTGCTGTTCTGTTGATATCATCATTTTTGTTGGTTTGCGCATTGTCATGTGCTGGTAATTGCCTGCCTAGATTTTTCCGCAGAACACAACTTCCTATTTTCAGGCATAATAGTGCGCCAGCATCAGTTCTCAATATTTCTTCACCTTTCCGGTTCCAGCGTTCAGGTAAGGTCTTTTTTTATTTATATATATATATATATATATATATATATATAATTTCTGTTTTATAATTTTATCTAAATTTCATATTGTAAATGAACAGAACAACCATCAGGTTCTGTTGCAACCAATATAACAGTTTGTCTTATTGACAATCTGCTTTGATTTTTTAGAGGATCATTTTTAGTTTTCTGAAACTGTCCATCTGCTGAGAGATACTGCAGTTCTTTATATTTGTATCCTCATGCCTCTCTAATTAAGAGCAATATTTTGTATCTCAAATGTTGATACACTATAGTATAGCTGTCAAGTTTGCCTCTTTTCTGCCTGTGGGCTAGCTATTACCTTAGGGTTGTAGGAGCCACAGATAGTCGCTGTTGCACTAAATTGATTTTTCACCAAAAATACTACTAGTATTATGTTTAAATAATTATATGATACAAAGACAAAGCATTGGATTTGCTTGTTTGCATGCATCTTTTGGTCAGTACTTGTAGTTTTCAATGCTGTGCTCGTTTCGTTAACTTTTGTCTTACCAATTGATGAGATAAGAATATCTGTTATTTTCCAGGGGATGCAAGAGTAAAAATGCCACTGAGTCCAACTGCTGTTGGTGATCAAGAAAGGTCACTTGGTATTGGACATTGGGTTGGCGGAAGCAACATTCAGCTCACTGATTCTTCTCTATATTCAGCAGTCAGTGGAGTTTCACATAGTCCCTCATCAGGTAGCTTAGGGCAAATGCAATTTGACAACAATGGCATGGGTGCCATGTGGAGTCCTCATAGAAATCAGATGCGTCTCCAAAGTAGGCGGTCAGCATCCAGAGAGGATCTGATGTCTTCTGTGGCTGATGGGGTGGTGAAGGTTTAGATCTCCAAAAATCCTGGTATGAGCTCGAAATATTTTTATAGTTTTATTTCGATAAACCTAGTCTTCTACATGCTACAAGATTTCGAAGTCAGTTAGCCTTGATGCCTTATCTCTAATTGTTTCCTCTATACGCTACATGAGTTCAGTGTTAGTCAGCTGCCAAACCTTATCTCCAATTTTGTCCTCCTAGTACATAATTTTTTTTCTTGGATCTTCCTTGTAAAGAATAATTAATGATGAAACCAATCTTGAAGAATTCTCACCTGGTTTTGTTTTCTTGTGTATTTTCCCTTAAAGTATCCTATACTTTTCATTCTTATTCATAACTACACTTCTCTTTTATAAATTCGTGATGTTTATTACAATTGTAAGTTATGTTCTTTCCGCTTTTTTAAAAAAAAAATCAGTTTTGATCTGCATAGTACACCCGGGTGTACCAACCAACGATTACATTGTACACCAGGGTGTACCATGCTCATGGTACATTTGAATGAAAATTGTCATTTAAATAAAAAAAGTCATCTTCCTAAATTTACGCTACTTGATTGAAGGATTTTTGTTATTTTCTTTCCATATTTTTAGCTTCCCTTATCCATAATTGTTCATATTCAATTTTTGAAAAAAGAGAATTTTTTGGAGAAAAAAAATAAAATTTTAAGAGAGATGAATTTTTTAGAGAAAAAATGACAGCTCATGGTGAATTTCGTCACGTTTTATGATCGTCAATTTGTAGTTGATTGAAGGATTTTTGTTATTTTCTTTCCATATTTTTAGCTTCCCTTATCCATAATTGTTCATAATCAATTTTTGAAAAAAGAGAATTTTTTGGGGAAAAAAAAATAAAACTTTAAGAGAGATGAATTTTTTAGAGAAAAAATGACAGCTCATGGTGAATTTCGTCACGTTTTATCAATTTGTAGTTGATTGAAGGATTTTTGTTATTTTCTTTCCATATTTTTAGCTTCCCTTATCCATAATTGTTCATAATCAATTTTTGAAAAAAGAGAATTTTTTGGGGAAAAAAAATAAAACTTTAAGAGAGAGATGAATTTTTTAGAGAAAAAATGACAGCTCATGGTGAATTTCGTCACGTTTTATGATCGTCAATTTGTAGTTGATGATCAAGAGAATGATGTTTTTTACAATAATATTTAATCTTAGATTTTTGTCACAGAATGAGAAGGTAGTTTTTAATTATTTTTTTTACAATTTAAATTTCATAATTTTGTTGTTGTTGTTATGATGTTTTTAGATTATTATATTTGTTCATTGATCATTGTTAATGAATTCGTTATTGAAAAAAATGTGTAATTTTTCAATGATTTTTTATTATTTTTTTTTTTTATTTTTTTTTTAATTTGAATTTGTGTTATTTCAGAGGTTGAAGATAAAGTTCTTTCAAATTGATATAAATGTTCTTTTATCAGTTTTTTGATCCGTATTCATTTTTTTTTTAATTTGAACGAATACGTCCATTGAGTTTAATCAATATGTTTTTTAGGTCTAAACTATATGTTCTTTACGTCACAAACTATGTACTTTGGGTCTGAATTATATGTTCTTTACGTTACAAACTATTTGTTCATCTAATTGCATATATTCTTCAAAAAAATTATCGTCTATTTGTGTATATATTTATATTTTTAAAGGAGGATAATAAAGGTTGATGAAGATGATATTCTTTTGGGACCTTCTCTATTGACGATTGATTTTTGGATCTAAAGAACATTTCTGTATTAATAACGAACATGATAATAATATTTAAAGAATATTATTTATATTTACCCTACATGTCATTTCACATTAAGTAATGAATATTGTGTGACAACTGACAAGTACATTAAAATTACAGCGAAAGGACATAAACATTTAAAATATTTTATCAAGAAATCTGATATAATAATGGACTTATAGAAAGAATATAAATAAATTATATAATGAACACCATAATAAATACACATGAACAAGTTGAATATTATAACAAAATATAAAAAAAAATATAATTGGTAATTTAGAGATTTTTTTTTTTTAAAATAAAGAAAAAGAACGAAATAAAAAATACTGGAATTTGAAAATTTGAAAATGAAATCTTGATCAAAAATAATTTTAGAGAGAGTAATTATAGGAAAGTGAATATTTTGAAATGATTTGACATTAAATGCATGTTAAAAATCAATTGGTAACTATCTTTTACCTTTTTTTAAAAACTGTTTCACAAAAATTATCACGTTCTTTATCTTTCAATGTTGTGTTCTTTTATAAATTCATGATGTTCATTACAATTGTAAGTTATGTTCTTTCCGCTTTTTTAAAAAAAAAATCAGTTTTGATCCGGGTGTATCATGCGCATGGTAGCAACCAACGATTATGTTTGTTGAGTTAATACAGAAAGCTTGTATAGGGGTGAGAGAAAACCCTTCTTAACAGTTAGTTGTCTTTGATGTGTACTTCGTATTAATTAGACTAAGGGATTTTTTTTTGTAGGATTTTCTGCTTATTTGAGTTTGGCTCCGTTCATTCAATGGAGCACCGAAATAAAATTCTATAGACAATAAGTTCATCAATCTTACTATAATACTATATGATCTGCCAAATAGACTATTCACTCATTATTCACATGCCTACAGAAATGTCTCTGACTGGGATGTTAGCCTGCTAACGAACTATTCATGGCTGGAACACTGGAAATCGCCATTGCATTTATTCGAAGAGGAAAGTTCTCATTATTAGAGAGGCACGTGCCTAAGCTACTCAAACTCCTAGAATGAGTATTTGGAGAGCATCGAGTATCATTCCTCTGAACCAGCAAAGCCCCAACCTGTAAATTACACATTTTACCCGAGGCGGCAGCGCTTACAGAAGCTGAAAATGAGTTGAGATGGCCTTGCTAACACCAATTTCCCTGAATGTGCTATAATGTTATTTACTGTAATCATATAGGTGACCCTGCTGGTCACCAATTGAATTTTGTTTAGCAGATAATTGATATTGAAGAACTGATTGCCCAGATGATTCTTTCTGGTAATCAGATGGGAGTAAATATAACACCGATATACTTTATATGGAAAAATGTCTGATATGCTGGTAGTTCTGCATCATGGAAGATGCATAAGAGCCTTAATGCTGGATTATGTTCATAGTTTCTGCGAAAATTTTTAACATCTTAACCCAGCATTGAAGAGAACGCAGCAGAGATTTTCATCGGTTATTTTTGCTGGAATTCTGAGTTTAAATATTGGGATTTTCTTTATAATTGATTAATTGACATTGTATGAGTTTGCGCAGTAAAATAAATTGTTGCAAAGAGTAATGTAAAGAATTACTAAACAATTCAAAGTTTGTATCATAGTAGTAACTAAAAAACATCGATGGGAGCCAACGTTTACAATATAATATAATTGATTAATTATATCGGATGAACTATTTATAGATTGTTGAATTACATTTACAATGATCAGATGATTTCAAGGCCTTTGAAAGGAAAATAATTTTGCCATACCCATCGTGAGTATGCTTCTCACACATGGAGGTGTGTCAAGATCAATTCCCCTTGTAAAATAATGCAAACTGAATCTGAAGTGATTTTTTTATATACTAATATTGATAAGGATTACAATGTACGACAATCTAACCGTGTTAGGAAATCTGTCAAAATATAATACTCCCACAAAATTTCGATTTGAGATTAGAATAGACAGGGTTACATACTCTTTGATCCTAAAAATTCCAATTTGGGATTAGAATTGACAAAAATTATCACAAATACCTCATTTTGCCTAATAAAAATATTTCGGTTTGTATGACGCATGTAAAACGAGGCATTTTCGATTTTTTTTTTTTTTTTTTTTGTGGTGTTAAACTAATAGCTATATTTTTAGTGTTAAAAAATATTTTCGAGTTTTTCTGTGGGTTTTTCGTTATACTTGTACTTAAGTAATGAAGTATTTTCATTACTTCTATTTTGTTTTCTCAGAACTCTGTAGCAGCCTTCTAGTTCCTTACACCCACAATCTTCATCAAACCACCGCCACCATATTTCACCACCGTCTTTGACTTCTTTCAGCTAGATCTGAAGGTCTATATGTTACATTATAATCCAAGTTCTATTTACAATTTTGATAATAGCAGCAAATAACCCATCATCGAATGGGTAATTTCCTTTAAACTCAGTAATTGATTTTTAGTTTTTAAACTTAAAATAGGGTAATTTACCTCTTCAATTTTGAGCCTAATTGATTTAATTAATTTACAAAGGGTAATATAAAGGTGATTTGATTCAATTTAGATAATGTCCAAATAGTACAAGTCAATTGCTGCATTTTTCAATTTCCTTAGAAACAACTATAAACTACGTGTTTGATCACCAGAACAACAATTAAGAGGTAACTGACCGACTGGAATCTAACTATTAAGAATTAAGCCCGAATCTGAATTAGCCAAACGGGTGAACCGAATGGACACAAGATATTATTTTTAAGTTGTCAGACTTGTAGATTTGATAATAATTGCTTTTGAATTTGTTTAGAATTAGCCTCAATTAGGCAACTAGGTTATTTTCCTAACTTTCATAGGTTTCCCTCTACACAAATTTGTGAGCTTGTATAAAACTATATAAATATGGTTATGATATCATTAAAAACTATAAGAACAAACTTTAATTTGATTTAACTCTAAACTCATCTCTATAACTGCTTTCATGTTTTTATTTGGCAACAACATTATCAAAATCATACATGGCTGATTGGAGTGATTTACCCGTTGAAATCCTTCGAGAAATAGTGTTGAAACTAGCTAGATTCTGTCCAAGACTTGGTCTGTTTCTCCTCTGTATGTCAATCATGTCAGTCCGCGTATTCTATGGCTAAAAAAAACTTGGACTAGGACGATGCCATGGTTGATGCTACCCGAAAACACACAAGATAACCCGAATAATTACCTTAGGAAAATATATTGTCCTAATCAGCAAAGGTGATGGTGCTAGATGTTGGGGTTCGTCGCGTGGTTGGGTTGTCACACTTGATCTAAACCTAGAAATCTATATGTTTAACCCGCTAACCAAAGCTCGAGTTCCTCTACCCCCTCAAACAACCATGTTAAACGACTATGTTTGGGTAGGACAGTGTTTTGTGAACAAGATGATTGTCTTTGAAGCCGATAATGAAAGAGATGACTATATTGTTATAGCATTACCTGGTGCGTTTCCAGGTTGTATGTCTTACTATGCAAGGCCTAGTGACAAAGCATGGACTTCAATTTTAAGTACACCCAAACTACACGGATGGGTGATGGATTGGGTGACGGATGTTGTGCGTTGGGGTCAAAAATTACTATTCTTGTATCAGGATGGAGAAATTGGATATTGTGACATGAGTGCACTTCAAAACTCAAAGATCGCGACAATTATGGAGTATTCGCTTATTCCTAAAGCATCCGACCCATGGCCCTTCATCAAACAACAATACTTGTTGGATGCATTCGGTGATCTTCTCATGGTAAGCAGACACAAAATAGATTTTGAAGGAGTTGAGGATGCTACTTTGAATTATGTTACAATACATTTTAAGGTCTATAGGTTCAAGTTTGACACAAATACTTGGGTACAAGTCATTGACTTATTTGTGGGGAATAATACTTCTATTCCTATTCGTGCATCACACATTAATAATTGTATTTACTTCACTGATGACGAGTTCCAATTTTGGGATCCACTCACTCTTTTCGGGGGGCATGATATGGGACTCTTCAACATCACAAATAAGGAGTTTCAAACCGTTTATGGAGGTGATGATATTCATTAAGTTTTTGCCCTTCTTTATGCTTTATGCCTAAGGTCTAGTTCAATTAAACATTTATTATGTAGCTTGATTTATAGAGCATTTTTTATTGAGTACCAGAAAATAGTCTGTGCTACAAAAAAAACTCAATGTAATACTTTGATTTTTTTTTTTTTTTTTTTAACAAATACTTTGAATTATTTAATATATGACATAATTTCGTTTTAATTGATGACCCTTTAAGTAATCTAATTTAATCCACCAGTGTACATAGATCATATGGTAAATCATGTTGAGCTCTTCTATGCTCCTAATCAGCTTTCTTTCCCAGTTTCCCTCCTAATTTCTAGTACTATTTACCTCTTTCTGTCGTCCTTATTTCTACTAATCGGCTCTTCTTGTCCTCCGTATCAAGTTTTTTGTAATAAACTTTGTGGAGTTATTTTTTATTTCCTAGGAAAGTATATTAATCACATAATCATGTAAAGGATAAAGTACTCTCCATATAATGGCATAATTTATAATATATTGGGACACCTCATCTAGTTTTAATTTCTAAAGATAAAGCATGAAATTGGACTGAAGAGACCGAGGTCCCATAGCTTCTAGCAATTTCTAAAGTTTTTCAGAAATATAACAGGAGTTGTCTTTTCACTATAGTCCATTGTACACACACCCAGAAAAAAACCCAAAAAAAGGAAAAAGGAATTCTGATTGGAATAACTAAAATCAAGTGAACATCCCCATACTGCTAACAGTAAAATCTGAACCGAACCAGTATAAAACACAGCTAGGCAGAGGCAGCAAGCATCGGTGAAGTTCACTCCCATCACTGTCACCAGGTAAATCACTCTTAATTTGTAAAAGAACTGAACTTCCAGATCTAAAATTGAGGCCAACAGCAGTCCTGCATAGTGAAGTTGCTGATGCTTCCATATTTGTGTTCCGCAAAATCAATGCATAAGAACAGAAAGATCAACAAAAAAAAGAACTCTGCTATATGGATCCAGCAGCTGAAAATCAAATTATGACTTGTTCAGATAGAGTATCAAATCCAAGAGAAGGCTGAACCCCTTTATAGGAATGAGGCCCATTATAAGTCGGCTTTGTCAGAATCCTTTGCATTACCCTGCCAGGAGAACAGCCAACCAAACAGCGATGAAAACTTGCTGTATGCAGGCTCTGGCACAACATCCTTCACCGTGCAGATGGCCTGATAATCATCCTTCATATGAGGCTCAAGTATCCTTTCCTAAAAGACACATGCAATTCGATGACTGAGAGGTGAGGTTTCTAACAAACGATAGCATACACATTGATGCAGTAGTTACCTTGAAAACTTCAAATGGACAAAAGTCAGAGTTGTCGCAGCCCTGTTCAAACAAGTCAACAGTATCAAATGTTAACAAAAATAAATGAAATACGAAGAAATCAGAAGATAAGCAAGACGGAAGCACAGAATTACAGTCTACAGTTTAATAGAATCATGAAGCAATTATGCACTCCCCCTCCATTCCTATTTACTAGCGTCCTAAGATTGTACAAGGCTCTTAAGGAGAAAATATTTAAAAAATAAATTAATAAATTAAAAAAGAAGTAGAGAGAAAAGTGGGTGGGTGTGTGGATAAACTACAGAAAAAGATGAGAGTACCAACATACCATATGACGATGTAGCAAATGAAAAGGGACCGAAAAAAAGGCAACATAAAGAAGGGGATACAAGAGGAGCTGCATTGTTCTGGAGCCAAAATGTTGGAGGTGCAACACCAGAAAGTTTTGAGTAGGAAAAAAAAAAAAAAAAAAAAAAACTACACCCTCTATCGAGCAGCAATTGAGTTTTCTATAGGCTTGGCTGCACTTAAGTTAGTTTATTAGTTTTGCCTCAAAAAAAAAAAAAGTTAGTTTATTAGTATTATATAGACAAAAAGTGGCAATAGTGCATGCATAGCTTTAAAGACAGGAAGAGAACAAAGTCATTTCATTCCCCCTATTTTGCAAATGCTGAACAAATCCTTATTTGGCTAATATCCTACAATGTGCAACCCAATGTATACTTTAGCCACAGCTAACTGAAGCTTACCGGTAAAGGTACTGGATGCTCATTATGCAATACATGAACAAAATACTTGCTCTTTCTGGCAGGACAACTGTAAAGTACAAGCATGTTGTTCCCAGCAAATGGAGCCACGACACTACCCCTCCAAGTTCGCCTTTTGGGAGGCATAGGAGGGAGCTGCAACGGTTTTTCCTTAAGAACGAGATTATATTCTGTGAATTATTCAAAGAATAACACCAAGTAAGACCACCAGTCCACCGCTAATATAATTAAAGAAAAATATTTCTAGAGGTAAAAGGTAGGGAGCAAGGCAACAAGATCTTAAGATTCTATCCTCACCAGATCCTTGAAGAAAGAGACCAAGAAGACATGAGAATGGAACCACAGTCTCAGCGTGTGCAAATCGAAGCCTTGCCTTCTCATAACTCCCACTGGGCAGAGCTTCTGCATGACAGGTTTGAGCATACAAGTCAGATTAGAGTAAGAAGATAAAAACACCAGCTATACCATATGCAGAAAATATGAACAGACACTATCACACAAGAACGATACATATATAAAGGGCATGGAAATGTGAGCTCTACAATTTCATTATTCCCATAAGGCCCAAGGGAACCCTTCCCACCACTCAGATTAACGAACAGGTTGTCATAGAAGTTTTAATTTTGTGCATGAGACCACCAAAAGTTCCTGATTTCTCATCCTCTCCAGAAATGGCTAAACTAAAGCCACACATTTTAAGTTACAATCATTACAGAGAGATTGTTTTAAGTAGTGACACGACACAAACAGGCCTAACAAAGTGAATTTGATCATTTACAATGTCTAAAAATCACAGAGAAAATGAACAATTTCAGAGATAAGATCAACATCAAGGCTAAACATCTTTGATTCTAAGAATTATACCATATTGCAGCATTCAGATCTCAGAAGTAGCCCCCCTCCCCCCCCCCCCCCCCCCCCCCCCCCTCTCTCCCAAAAAAAAAAAAAAAAAGGGCATTAAAATCCACAAAAGAAACCTATCTCACTAATTCTTGTTGAATATATATTAAGCAATGAGGACTACTATGAATTACAATATTACGTAGCTTTGGACTGCATTTAAAAATAAAATGCAAGAATAAAGTAAGGAGAAGTTTGATTGATGTAAACTGAATTACACCAATTACAAATGATATTTCCACTTTCATAAAGTGGGTTCTTTCTCAAATTAGCTTAACTAAACTAAAACCAAGACACTAAATCAATATTTAACATAATGTCTTCCTAATTAGCTCTATTCATAAAATTTCTCCTCTAACAAACTGACTGACTTCTTCTTCAAGCTTCATGACAATTTATTTGTTATGCACTACCTAAATTACCCCTCCCCCTAATATCAATTCATACTTCACAGGAAAGACACGGAAGAGGATGCATCCAAAAAAAAAAAAAAAAAGCACGAACCACAAAATTTATGTACCTTCATTAGCCTTGATAGCAAGTTCCATGGACTCAACAACATCTTTAAGCAAAGGCAATCCCATGCGGTAGTTAACAGATTTTCCATATCCTTTCAACACAAATGCTTCCAGATCATCTGTCCACTCCAGCAGAGCAAGCTACAAATAACAAAACATTATAACTCATTGTGTATTAGGATATTTCATATGTTGCTAGATAGTGGTTATATCTAAGGATATTTATTTAGGGGAAGAAAAGGAAAAAAAACACTCTCCTTCCATTAGTTTTAATGAAAGCCATAACTACTTTAATTCAACTTTTTGCACCTTGAAGGGAGAGGGAAAGAGAGCTACTCAATTCCGATTATTTAGCTGAAGCAATAGAAGCAAGTAAGAAAAGGAGGGTGTAAAATTAATCATTGTATTTGGTTAGGAAAAGTATAAATAAAAGACTGAAACCAACTAAATACAACAATCCTTAATTCTTGCACAAAGACCTAAAATCAAGAAAAAAAATTAAGAGGGAGTATACAGGAGCTCTTGTAATGTTACATGCAGAAGGTAAACTGCATTAGTACAACATAGGTTGTTGCTAAAAGAGGAAGGAAAGCACAACAACATTTGCATATACCTTCTCACAATGTCAACATAATATATATGTAGATGTAAATAGGTATAATCCTTTTTGGTGCCACTTATAGTTCTAATACTCAATGCATCATTCACAAGAAAACAACCATAGAAAATGAAAATATATGGTTGAATGTAATCGCAACAAAGGGAGAACTACAAGTCCATGTACCTCAGTCGGATTAAAAAGATCACAAGCTTGATTAGTTATGTCTAGCAATGATGCTTCCTGCCATAGCAAAAAAAGCACGTTGTCACACAAATTAAAAAAAACAGATATCTACCATACATCTTGTTCAATAAATCGTGATTTTGAAGGAACACACACCTGCTTGCATAAAAACCAGAGAGAAGATATATCTTGTCTGGTGAAATTCAATCCATAGCGTCCGATTAAGGCATGAGTGATTTCATCAAAAATAGGCTCCTTTATCTTCTCAACAGCAGGCTCCTCATTTTCCCTGTAGTTCTACAACCATAGAGAGGAAGAAAGTGGAACAAGGTGAAAACGCACAACAATTTTAAGGACACAAACCGGATGTGATCATATTACAAGATTTCAAAATGCCTACAGGCCAAGTATCATCAATATTAATGATACGGGAACTTAACAAGAGCAACATATGAGAATTGAAAATAATGTTGAAAATTTTACCAGCACAGAAAAACCATACATGCATACTATAGAGAACATGGTGAGTAAACCCCAACTTCAAGAAACAAACAAACTTATGCAGAGTATAAAACAAATAAAAAATGGCTTCTACTTACAAAGATTGCATATTTAAGTATACTCAAGATAGTTGCCATGCTGATTCATTAGGTGATGTGGACAAATATTCAAGTGACATGCTAAGACAAGGAAATCAAGCCAGAGGAACAACATACTGAAGATTTTTTTTTTTTTGAAAAAAATGAGATTACTAAAAGAAAAAAAAAAAAGAAAAAAAAAAAAAAAACCTTCCATTTATGTTCAACACTAAAAAAATAGCAGCTTCCAAAGAAAGAATCTATACGTAACAAGCTAACAACCAATCAATTATACTTCAAACGCCCACCTTATAGCTTTGGCAGGTATCAAAAAACCTCAGCAATAAGTCACTTGCACGACTTTCGGTACTAACAGCAAAAGCCCGATGTTTTCCTGGGCCAAGACTTCCTCTCTCACTGAACAGCCCCATTGAAAAAGCCACAGCACTAGCAGATGCCCGAGGAACCTAAACCGTTAAGAAGAAAATAACATAACTATGTATCATAAGCCCATGTTAAGAGATTGGAACGCAAATCAGTAGATAAGCACTGAAATGTTGTAATATCATCCAAGATTAAAATGAGAAAAGAAGGTGATCTAAACTTGGAAAGGACCAAATCACTACCTGAGTTGCTTTGATTGTATACACATCAGGGTGGTAATCATCATTTAATAGAGTTGGATATTTTCCTCGAATCCTGATTCCAAGATCATAGAGTTCTTCTTCTCCCTTGACAATCAATTCGCCGCCCTTTACCTTTCCCTTCCATGGAGATGTCCATTCAAGTAGCCAAGCAGGAACATTATCCAAAGATAATTTACGTTCTTTTGCATTTGCTATAAGTGCTTGCAGTGAAGTGGCTAGCCTATCCATTTCCCTCATTCGTTTCTTAGTAGGGGCTCTTGTTCCATGCCTAGCCTATAAATTTAATGTAGATTAGTTCTGAACAAATGACTAAAGTTAATACACTGTAAATATCTTTACAGCTAACAAAAATGAGTAAGAAAAGGCTAATGAGCACAAGAATCAGTAAAAAAAAATCGTCAAAACAAGGAACATTGCAAATTCTTCCAAACTGCATACACTTGGATTGAATATCAGCCCTATAGATATTTATGAACCCAGCAAAGTTTCACATCTCAAAATGACATGCCATACCCACAAATACCTTGCATATCAAACACATATACATTACATTGTTTTGGAACACGATTGGTACACTAAGCATTATTCAGGCCAAAACAGTAGCCACAAGAGTCAAATAGGTTGAAAGTAAAAATCAATTCTAAACCAACCAAAACTTTACAACTGGAAATGACGTGTAGTCACATTCCATAACCACTATGACCTTGGCCATAAAAAACATGTAATAACCACATCAATCAACATTTATAGGAACACAATCTCTTGGTAAATTCAAACCTAGTTATACCCGAAAGTATTTATAGGCTTAGATATATAAAAACATTATTAACAGAAAACAGAGAGGAAAAAAAAAAAAAACACTGTAAAACGCCCAAAGCTGCAAAAACTTCAAATGGCAATAACTTAGCTGAATGAGAATATAAACCAGCACAAAATGTCCTAAATGTCAAAACTGTGACACCCAAAAATGACATGGAAACCCCCCACAATCACAATCACAATCACCCTAGACCAAAAATTTGCACACATATCAACTATGCTACACCACAAAAAATTGAGCTCTTAATATTACCAACCCACATAATTCATTCAACATTTTAGAAGCAAGTCTATAACTTTGGGTATATGATAATCTATGGTCTTATGGATATTTGATAAAGTCTTAAGTAGAACTAAGACACGAGACCGAATCCCATCTACATCACTTCACTACATGGCTCTCTACACGACAAAATAATAAGTTCTGGCATACAGCCATGTAAATATGTAATCTTCACTTCAATCAAATTTCATAAACAAGAAATTCATTCAAAATGTCTCCATTTCTATACATGTATAATTAATTGAAAACTAAAAGAAGAGATTACCACAAGATTTATATGAACAGGTGTACAATCATCAGTTTTATTAGAAGGTACAAATTCATTATCCACAATATCTTTCACAGCTCCATATCTGCATCCCAAATTAAAACCACATTATCAATCAAAACCACCCAAATGTCAAAATTAGGGTTAATTAATCCCCAATATAGAAAATTGAAAAAACCTATGCAATAAAAAATAAAAAAAATAGAGATCAAACCTAGTTACAGTAGAAAGATGCTGACGAACATCGTAAGGTTCATCAATGGTTGATCGAGCATAGGAAGAAGGTACTAGTAGTAGTATGAGAAGAGAGAGGATTGCATGTTGCATAAAAATGGCGGAATTTTTTTCTTTCATCTTCGATTTTACTTTTACATTCACTTTCACTTTCATTTCTCTGTTTTTGGGAAGATTTCTGGGTTTTCTCTCTCTTATTTTGAGTTTTATAGTGTGGAAAAGAACGAAGATTTGACGACGTGTGCTACCGTGAACGATGACAACCCATAGGGGAATTACATGTGGCATGTTTAAAATGTTGGTTAGTGACGGGATAACATGCTTTTAGGGTCGAGTAGGATCATAATCGGTTTGGATCACGTCGTGATATATTAATCGTTTGGAGTTGGAGTCAAGTTTAATTCGGGTCTAGTTTGATTTTTGTCCGAGGCATGCTGGATTAGGTTTAAGCTAGTGTGTAAACATAGTGTAATTTCAAAACAAAAATTGATATGAGTAATTATTGGGTCAAATTAAATATAAGTCTAGCCAGTTTTTGATCTAGAACACTTTGATAAATATGAGTTATCAAACTCGCTATTTTTTTTTTTTTTTTTTTTTTGCGAGTAAGGGATGGGCCTAGGGATGAGCAAAAATTCCGGGTACCCGGAATTGGAATCGGAACTGGTTAGTAACCGGCGGGTCTGGAATCGTAATTAGACCCGGTGGTTCCAATTTCAGGTAATAAATTAAGGAATCGGTTGCAACCGGTTCCAATTCCAATTCTCAATTTTTTTATATATTAAACCAAATATATTTTTAAAAAAAAATATATGTTAAATGTATGTAGTTAGTAAAATAAAAAAAAATATATTATTAAAACCTAACATAAATAAAATAGCTTCATGCATATATAAATATAATTATTAAACGCTAAAAATGAAAATGGATCAAATAACTATTATAATTGTATTAAATTTTAACATTTATGTACAATAGTGGGTACCCATAACCGAAACCGGAATCGGTACCCGACAATTCCAATTCCAATTTCTAAGTTTTAGGACCCAGTTGAAGTGGTTCCAATTCCAATTCCGAATTTTAGGACCCGCTCCCAACCAATTCCGGGTATCCGAAATTTGTGCTCACCCCTAATAAGTGGACCCCACCTTGATTTCCTATCATAGGAATGTCAAGGGGGTATTACCCAAGTGAGAGAGGCGATATGAGCATCGAACCCGGTCACAGTCACGGAACCGAAGTCAAGCTCCACTGAGCTATAGACTTCTTGCTCACTCACTACAAAATATGCAATTGCCAATGCATATGTAAAAGTAAGAAAGTACAAGTTAATTACATTATATTCACCTCTAGAGTTGTAATTAAAAGAGAAATATAACAACTTTTAATAGTTAATTTCATAAATAGAGATGAACAGGTATGAGTGTATGACCCTAAAGACATTAATTTAGCAAATGCTATTGTATTTGAAAACCTTTATATATCATGCATTTAAAATATAACACCTTACTAGACTATTGTATTACTTAGCATTTTACAACCTAATGCTAACCAACAAAGATCCCTAAGCAGTTTGATTGATTGTCAAATTAAAATTACTTAATTAGTTTAAAACAATTCAACTCCAAGATAATTTTCTATTTCATGGAACAAAATGCGCAAAGAAGCAATCTTTATATTTTGCTTATTACATCTTTACTTAGCTTAATATCAACTTCAATTCGTATTATAGGATTTGCAGCATTAACTTCTTTTTTAGGCAAAAACTTATAGGTATGAAGTCTAAGATATATAATAGTGTGAGAAAAACTACTATACTCTTGTTATTTGCCCAAGACAAATGAGTTTTCTAAAATAATGTTTAAATTAGACTCTTTAAGATAAGGGCCCTGTGCAATTGCACTCCTTCATTTAAGTAATTTTTTTTTTACAAAATTTAGCTACCAATAAGAAATTAATCGTTCTAATATGCTTATAACATCTTTACTTAGCTTCTTAACAATTTCAATTAATACTGTATCACTAACTTTTTTTTTTTAATCCAAAAGCTCATAGGTATATAATTTAAGGTGCGTAATAGTGTGAGAGAAATAATAAATTTCTCATTATTTGTCCAAAACAAATGAGTTTTCTAAAACAATGTTTAAAATTTAGGCTTTTAAGACAAGCGCCCTGTGCTATTGGTCTGCTACACTTAGGTGATTTTTTTTTTTTTGTTTTACAAACTTTAGCTAGCAATTAGAAAATTTGATACACACAAACCAATTCACGCTGCTTCATTGCTACAAAGATTTTTAAATTGTCAATACTCCGTGCCCAACATTACCGTTGCATCACTTGTCAATTATCACCCTAATCCATTTAATTTGTTACGAAATAAAATTGAAATGATATAAAAAATTCAAGATTTACGCACCTCAAATCATGACAATCATACTCTCTATCTAAAATTAACGACGAGTAAATCCGGGTTAAGGAAGACTAGTAAAAATGTAAAATGTTGGAAAACACTTCGCTGATTCATTGACACCGACAACCCCACAAAGTCCACAAGACCTCATCTTCCTCCCTTTTTGTCTTATCGGCGAACTTCACGAATTCGTTGCTCTTCTGAAATTAATCCACATTTTTCTCTCTCCTTTCACGAAGCTCGAGATCTCATCACTGACGAAAATAAACCCCTATTCTATATCATTCACTTCAATTCAATTTTCTGATTTCAGGTAATTTTCATTTCATTATTCCCAATTTAATTTTTAACGATTTTATCAATTAAATTTTTTAATTTGTACTTTTATGGGCGAATTTTATCATATTAATACTTGGATTGGACCTAGTTTGAACCTTCGATAGTATTTTGAGAGAAGTAAGTGAACAAGAAAGCTGATTTGATTCTGTTTTTTTTTCCTTCCAAATTTAATAAGCTGGGTTTTATCTGATGGAACCCTAATTTAGTACTACTGCATCATTTCGCAGAATTTAGTAATTACGGAGTATAAAATTAAGGAGTTAGTATAACCGAAAATGATTGGTATTGACCAAAATTTAATGAATGATAGAGCGTTTTAACAATGATGTTTACTGTGTTAGTATAGTGGGATTAAAGAAAGATAATTAGGAATGTACAAAGCTTAAATCTTGCAAATCCCGCAACTGGTTCAAGTGTGGTACTATGCATGATCAACTCATACTGGTGCAGAGTATGATAGCCAGACTGTACAAACCTACATGTACCGAGATCGCTTATTACAATGGGATACTGGCGTTCAGTTTTGGGTATTGTGGTGTAGAGATATTTCCTTGCACCTCTGATTTTGTTGTATTACGCGCTTATCATCATAACATTTGACTATTGGTTGATGCAGAAGCACTTATTTGAGTATTGCGTCAATGAGAAACTTGAATGAGTTTCAAGGTTTCTGGGGCTCAGTGGCTCGGAAGGCTAAAGCGGTCCTTGATGACGATGTTCCACCTGAGCAAGCTGAAGCCCCTAGGACAGCTCGTCGGTATGAAAATAATGCTGCTTCCGGACAGCAGGTGAGAAAGCCCACGATAAACATCTTGTTCTTAAATTCTCTTCTTCCACAACGCTTCTAACCACTTTCTCCCCCCGAAGCAATAAGGAAAAGAAATAATCCTGTGTAAGCGCACACAAGAGGTGGACAGTTATCCTAGAATGATAGTTTAATCTGTGAAGAGTGTGAGGGAAAGAAGCAGAGATAGAAAAGATTTGTATATGAAATATAAATACCCATAAAAGAGTATTTTGTTGCTTGATCTCGAATCTTATTTTAAATGGTCAGGTGCCAGACGTTTAAATTTTGTTTTTGTTTGATGTTCACTGCTGTATTGATATACCATTCTGATAGTACTTTCATTATATGAGTTATCTGATTGCAGGATGGCCGCCAATTTCAACCTGAGCAGGGCCGCCAAAAACCGGACAAAGCTGTATTACGGAAGGGGTTTGGTGCTATTGCTTCTTCGTTTAATTATCTTGGCAATGCCTTAGAGGTAAGCTTGATGTAATTATTTCGTAATGTTGAAGTTTATTAAACACTCAGCTGTGAATTTGCTCCATTTGGTGCTATGTTTAGGCTTTTTACCAATTCTCCTGTGGCTCAGACACCTACTGCTATTATTTTCTCAGATATTATCTTAATAGACCAAATCCTTGAGGAGAGCTTCCTGTGCCATAATGCAAATCCCAGTATGCTGTAGAAATTCAATAAGTTAACATAATTGAATTCTCTGAAAAAAAATTTATGAGCAATTTTTGCAGTAGAGTATTAAAAAAGGTCCATTTATGGGCTTATGGTCCATAGCCATCTAATTTGTGTGAATCTTTTTGGACGAAGAAATTTAGGGGAGTTGTAAAAGTAAAACGATTTGCTATCAACTGAAGCTACCATGAGAAGCTTCACTGGACAAAATTGTAAATATTTAAAAACACTGAAAGAAGAAAGAACACAGGTTTACTGGAAATAAACTGATGCCAGGTCCTGATGGTGGATTGGTAGTAACTGGTTATTGGTGAAGTGGTGAGTTAAGTCCATTACTGAATGGTTGTAGTAGTTGTGTCACTTGAAGAACCCCTATGGTAAATTACATTACAGATAGAACCCCTGAATCTATTAGGAATATATTGAAGATAGAACTGGGGAGGCAATTAAAAAGACTGATATTGTTTGTTTGCCCCCCAACAACGTTAATGGATTTAAGAAAACGCTTTTTACCCCTTCTACTCTGTCTTTTTTGAGGCACCAAAAGATAGCTGATAAACCTGCTAGTATATACTTTGCCCAAGAGGTGTTCGTTCCTATTGGTGTTTGAGAATTTGATCCTCTTTTATAGCCTAAAATTGGGTTTCCTGTTTAATAAACCAATATACATAACGAGAAAATCGCAAGTGCCTCCCCCCCTAATCTATGTTGTTTCTCTTCTGGAAGGTTCACTTAGCAAAAAAAAACTTACAAAATTAGTAGTTGTAACAAACTAACAATCATAAAAGGGGTCCCATGATTCTTTTTTTTTATTATTATTATTTTTTTTTTATTATTATTATTATTATTATTATTATTATTATTATTATTATTATTATTATTATTATTATTATTATTATTATTATTTCTTTTTCTTGTGATCTTTGCCTCTCTTTGAGGAGCTGTGTAAAAGTTAAGAAGGTATCATCATAAACTCATTATTGTGTGTTGCTAGCAATTGTATATATTGAGCAATAATTATGCTACTGATGTCTGTACTGCTCTAATGTCCAGGAAGGACTTCACATTGTGGAGAACCGCACTGCAGACATTATCCTAAACACTCGAAATCGGAGGTATGCCAGAAAAAAATCAGCCCCTGACTTCAACCAACAGCCCACAGATGCTGGACTTGTAAAGGAACCATCTGGAACACAGAACCAAATGCCCTCGGTGGCTCAAACGGAATTGAACATCCAATTGCAGGCATCTCGCGACGTAAGGTGGCCACTTTTTGATCACTGGTCATATAATAATTAATACTAATTAATAC